TGTCTTGAGATTTGTTTTGATCACATTTTCCTTGTGATTATACATTTTCTTGTGATTAATGGGTGTTGGGGGGGGGCAGATGGTCTCAGTGGTAGAATATTATGTTCCCTGTAGCTTACCAACATGACACCACTGTTGATGCTAACGTATCTAACTTGACAGGGGTTTCTAAAATAAAGTTACTCTTTTCCCCTCTTCTCACAACAGAGTAGGGAATTATACTCTACTTTTTTTGAATTTTTTTTTTGTCCCAGTGCTAAGATTTTTATTAGTGGTGCTTTTTAAAAAGCAAATGTACATTATTAGGGAACTTACCTAAAATACAGTGAGGCTTGCTTTATGGTTATAGTTCAATATGTTAAGTAAAGCTTAACAATTTGGGCGGGGGGGGGGCTTTTCCTACCATACTGTCTAGAGGTGGGGATCTTGAGTTCAGTGCTTGGACTTAGCAGTGTGGTGCAAGAAGGCCACTTGAAAAACAAAAACTACCAAATGTGGCCCAGGGCTAAGCATATATGTTGTAGCACTGAGGTAAATCTCATTCCTATTTTCTATCTTTTTAAGAGCAAAATGTCTGCAAAACTATCTTCAATTCTTAGATAATATTTTTTGTCTTCTCCTGTTTTAAATTGTATTCAGTCAGACATCATCATTCTGGACACATGGGCATTTACACTTACTGTTGTAACTCAATACTAACACTAACATGAAACTGTTCTGGCTCTCTTGATTGGGACCTCTTTCATTTGATATCTGTGCCCCCTTAATTCCTTCATTATGTTTAAGTATTCTGAGACACTCTCTTTATGGCACTTAAAAGAATCTTCAGGCTACCTTGTCTATTTCTGTCTTCAGTTCTAGTATCACTGTTTCTCTGAAGAACTTTATTTTTTTCTTTGGTTTTTGGGCCACACCTGGAAGTGCTCAAGTGCTCATTCCTTGTGGGTTTAGGTGACCTATGGGATGCTGGGAATTGAACCAGGGTTGGCTGCATACAAGGCAAAGGCCCTCCCACGTGTGCTATTGCTTGGGCCCCCATGAGGAAGAACTTTTATTGCAGAATGGGAAAAATAAGACTGATTTTAGTTGTAGATGCGCTCCTTACTATTGGTATGTTGTGGCTTCAGGGCTCTATGTTGATGCAGGAAGGAAATAAATTTATTTTTCTGAGTTCTAACTCCAAAAATTAGATGTTTTTTTGCTGTAAGATTATATCTATAGTAAGCTGAATAATGAGCTTATGTTGATGTTTCTTTCAAATAGTAATCCAATTCCACATTTCAACCTTCTTATTTACCTGTCTGCACCCTCCCATTCCAGAAGTGTAAAAACTGGCTCACCCTATTCACTTACTTACTCAGGTATTTATTTCTAATAGACGTATATAATGGTTTCAGAATTGTTAAACTATGTTCCCAGGAAAGATTTTTTTTATAGATCGTAAAAGGATTTTTATAGGTTATAGAAGGATTCTTCTTTTTTTTATATAGAAAACAAAGTTCCCGTAGCATGGAACAAACCATTTCAAAGTGTATATTTCACAGGTTTCACAGTATTGTGCAATCACCACTATCTAATTTCAGAACATTTTTGTCACCCAAAAGAAACCCTGTACCCATTGAACCCTCACTGCCTCTTTCCTTCTTCTGCCATTCCTTGGAAGCTACTAAAGTTTTTTAAAACCACGATATTTACCTTGCCTCCCAGATACTATGATTCAGTAGCTCTAAAGATAGGTCTAAGGATCTATGTTTTTAATTACATTTTGTTTGGGGGGCAGTTTCTGCTGTGCTCAAGACTTACTCCTGGTTCTGCACTAAGGAATCGCTCCTAGCAATGTTCAAAGTATCATTTGAGGTGCTGGGGATTGAAGGACTCTATATCTTTAAAAAAGTTGTTTCACTTGCTTCTGATGGTGTGAGCCTAGAACAACAGCGTTTTTTTAGAGATTTAATTGAAATGTTCCCGAAGCAATGGGAATCTAGGAGCATCCTGTCAAAGTTAAAAATAATGGCAATACATCTTTCCTTTAAAAGTCAGTCGAACACAGATCTGGGTATACCCCTGAGCACTACCAGTTATGGCCCCCAAACTAAGAGAAGACAGGGAAGGGTGTGAGAAGGAGGGGGGTAGGAGGAGTCGCAGGAGGGGAGGGGGGATGGGGGAGAAGCTGTTTGAAACCATAATGATTTTGCACAAGACAGATGTGGGTTTGATCCCTGGCACCTTATATAGTCCCCCAATCCTGCAGGAGTGATCCTTGAGCACAGCGAGGAATGACCCAAACACAATAATTAAAAAATTAAATCATGGGGCTGGAGCAGTAGCACAGTGAGTAGGGCGTTTGCCTTGCAAGCAGCTAACCCGGGTTCGATTCCCAGCATCCCTATAGTCCCCTGAGCACTACCAGGAGTAATTCCTGAGTGCAGAGCCAGGAGTGACCCCTGAGCATTGCTAGGTGTGACCCAAAAAGAAAAAGACAAAAAACAAAAAAAATAAATCAGGATTTTTAAGTTCTTCTGTGGTCTTGGTTTTGTCTTACTGAGGAAGTAAAGCTTCCAGCTGTAATTCTCTTTTGTTAGTTTTTCCATTACGTTTTGAAACACTTGCTAGTTGCGTATATTTAATGCATTGACTCTTATCAGTATGTAGTTAAAAATATTCCTTTTTGTATGTATGTTGATTCCTTCATTACTATTTTTGTGACATTTTTGACAGGATATTTGTTATGAATTGAATGCTTAATATTTTTTGGCATCTGCTTTTATTTTTAGAATTATATTATTAATAAAGTTTTCCAAATAAAGTTATTTTGATTTTTTTCTAGCATAGTCTTAGTATAATGTACTGTCATTTATAATTTTCAAAAAATGTCAACTCCTTCATCAGAACTGAGTTCGCCAGAATAGAAGATAGAAGTAGATTGAAGGGGACAGAGGTCTCAGTGAATTGTGATGGAAGATGTGTGAACTTTGGTGTGGATGTGACGTGGTAGCAAATATTTAGTAAGATGAACCCATGAAACATATGGGTAACCAACATTAACTTTTTTTAAAAATGTACTGAGTTTTTGATTATCTTAAATGGGTTTGTTTTGTTCCTCACCCCCAGTTATTATTATATAAAAACCCTATGGCTTTTTCATAAATTTTAGTCTGTTCTTTCATATTTTTATTGCATTTCTATTATTTTCTGTTACTAATATGTTGTTTATTGTGTTTATCCTGTTACATATTATGAATTGAAGTTTAAAGGGGGGAGAGTTACTCCTTCATTCACCATAATATATTGTTTGATTTTTAAAGGAAATACTGCTTTATCTTCATAGTTAATTTTGCTTTGAGGTTACAACTTTATATTTATAAAACTTAACCATTCTTGGGCTGGAGCAATAGCACACCGGGTTCTATTCCTCTGCCCCTCTCGGAAAGCCCGGCAAGGTACTGAGAGTATCTCGCCCTCATGGCAAAGCCTGGCAAGCTACCAGTGACGCATGCGATATGCCAAACACAGTATCAAGTCTCATGATGGAGATGTAACTGGGCCCGCTCAAGCAAATCGATGAATAACGGAAGGACCATGACCATGACCAACCATTCTAACTCTAAATATTTGTGCAGGATTTGAGGGGTGTGCTATACTTAAGTGATTTTGTTTAGATGGAAATTGGTAGTGTTGAAAAAGTTTCTTTGTAACTTCAGTTTTTTTATTTTGTAAAATGAAAGATATAAATGGTTTAGACTTTTAGCTCTGTGTGTGTGTGTGTGTGTGTGTGTGTCTGTCTGTCTGTCTGTTTGTCTATGTGTTTGCCATATCCAGGTTAGTTTTGGTAGATAATAAATTAAGCCATAATGAGTAAGTTATTTTATCAAAACTAAATTTTAAAGCAGTAATAGAATAGTTTGAACATAGGTTTTATTTATCTTCTGTTCAAGATGTCTGAGTGTTTAAAATTTTCTTTTAGTTGAGTAGAGTTTGCACCAAAGCCAATGATTGGAGACTACTCCCAGCTCTGCTTGTTGTGGATGGAAGCAGCATGTCACTCCTGGTAGTGCTCAGGGTATTTGGTGCAAGTGCCAGGGATTGGACTGGACTCAGCCACAAGTGAATCAAATCTTAACTCCTCTACTGTGTCCAGTCTTTTAAGATGTCTGAATTTTAATAATGCCCAGTGCTGTAGATACTAGTGTGACAGCTTTCTTAAACTTGTGAGACTTCTTTGTAAGAAATTTATAGCATGAATGAAACAGTTAAAATTAGGCTTGCCAGTAATTCTGTTTGTGGTTGTGACCCAAACATCTTCCATCTAATGAGTGCTATGTAATCGAGCTTTCTATAATAATAGTGATGTTGTATATGTGCACTGTATAGTAAGATAACTTTAATTTTAACTTTCAACAGCCATGTATGGTATTAGGTCATCCATCATATAGCTACACATGCATAGCCTAATAGCTTCTACCTTTTTAAGACAGCTTACAGAATAGAGATCCAAGACAGAACCAATTGTAGAGAAAAGGGTATTTGAAGTGATAGTTAGAATACAGTATGATACGTATTGAATGAATAGGTTAATAAAGTGATTCAATTCCTGGGATGTCTGAGAATTCAATAAAGGGAAGTAAATCACTGTAGGGATTTTTAAGATAAAAAACGTAATTAATTTGAATTAATTGAAAGACAGTAGTATAAAATTGCTAATCAGGTTTCTGCTGATACACTCAGAACAGTTGATACACTATTTCTGAATACCCAGAAAACAAGAAATTAGAAAGGACTTCGGAGAACATAGGAAAAATTACATTAAGTAGTTCTCTTTTCATCTTTTTGTCTGTGTAGACATCGACATGAGAACTTAAATTTGAAGCTATATTGTTAAGTGAAAGGGTCACCTCTTTGAGAAAATTGTCTTGAGATGTAGACATTTGCACTGTCTGAGTAAACTCAAGTAAATTTCATTGTGCATTTATGCAAGTAATCCTCATATCTATTCTTTACAGATCCAGGATGAGAAGACTGATGAAAGAAGCTAGCTGAACAGCTATAAGATGCCCAAATCTGGGTTCACAAAACCAGTTCAGAGTGAAAATTCTGACAGTGACAGCACTATGGTAGAAAAACCATATGGAAGAAAGGTATATGTCTATACTAAAGATTTTTTGACTCTTGGAACTGGAAAATAAAGGTCCTATATTTTTAGTAGTTGCTTTTTAAGATAAAGAATATGAATGACAGATAAATTCAGACTTTAAGTCTTTTAGATATTCATTGGATTCCTAGAGATAAAATTATCATAACCTAAGATAATGCAGTTATTTAAGGAATAGTCATTGATTTTTGGGGAGTAGAATCCAAAACACCTCAGTCTTTGGTAATTCTTTCCCCACTCTCTGCTGGTAGCAAAATATATACAGTAGTTATTTGGTTTTTCATATTTGTAAGCTTAGATAACATTTGTATAGCTTTTTCGTATTCAGTTTCTTTAGTCGTTATAGTTCTCTCCTATAAGATAATCAGTGAAGTGACAAATATTGTGCTTGAAACAGTGTTCATGGTCTGTATTACGTGCTAATAAATAATAGCAGTTCATGTTGTTTATTATTAGTTGTTGCCAGTGATTGTCTTTTTGCATCTGTTCTTGATTACTATTTAAGATTCAACACCTTGAGCTAGGGTATGTGGCTTTGTAGTAAAGTGCATGGTTTGCATGCATGAGACATGAGACCTGGGTTTGAACCCTGCACCACCAAAAACCCCAGGTTCTCAAACCACTTAGATTTCTGCATTTATGTTCTAATTGGTTTCACTATTTGTACTTTCACCTTAATCTAGTTAGTCTTAACATTGTCTTTGAAAGGCTTCTTTTTTCCCCCTTTAATCCTTATAGTCTCGCCCCCACACCCCCAGCAAGCCATTTTTTATTGGGAAAAAAAATACCTAAATTCTTTTCAGTGTTTTACTCATATCAGTAAAGCCATTGCAAGTATTTGTGTGTAACTCTTTTTAGGAGCTTAAGTGTGATGCTATTTATATACTGTAAAATTTACCCTTTATTATATAGTTCACTTTTTTATTAGTTATTAAGGAGTTGTACAGCCATCATATGGTTTAGTTTAAACCATTTCTATCAATGCTAAATGATCATGTTTGTTTGCAATTAATTTTTTTTGCTTCCCCAAGTAATCCTCAATCTGCTTTCAAAATGAAAAATGTTACATTTTCAGGGTCTGAGCAATAGTACAGTGGGTAGGGTGCTTGCTTTGCATACATTGATCCCTGGCACTACATGTGGCCTTACAAGCACCACCAGGAGTGATACTGAGGGCAGAACCAGGTAGTAGTAAACCTGCATACTTGTATTTGGAAATATTTTGAAATTTTGTATTTTGTATACCTTTTCTTGTCATGTGCTTAGCATTGTTGAGTTATCTTTCCAGCTACTAGTTTTATTCTTTTTTTTTTCTCAAGGTTCTAGTGCCTTTAATTTAAAGGATGGAGAATTTCTAGTTGATTTTTTTTTTAAATATATGTGTTGAATCTCCCCACTTTAAAAAAAACTGTTTCTGATAAGCAATTTCTATTATTTTACTACTTGATATGAAAATTTCTTTTTCATTGATGCTCTCAAGATTTCCTCTTGAGTCTGTTAAACAGTCTGACTGTAATTTGTTTCAGATTCCTTTGGGTTTATTTGGGGTATACTGTGCTTCTTGGATCTTTAAATGAGGGGTTTGTGAAATTTATTAATTTTGTGAATTTAATTCATAGATAAATATATTTTACTATTTCACATCTGTTATTGAGCATATGTAATGCATTTAAAAGTTTTATTTCAAATTCAGCACTTCCACTTGGCTCTAATAAATTCTATTCTCTGATGTTATTATAAGATTTAAGCATTTTAAAATTATTTTTTATAGCTTTTTTTGTAATCTGTCAAATTGAGTATCTGGTCCTCAGAGGTTTCTATTAAAATCTTTTTTTTTCTTTTTGTATATCCTATTTTGTTTCTGGTTTCTGGTCACATCTGGTGGTGGTTAGATTTTATTTCTGAATCTATCTATGCTCAGGAGACTATTGGCAGTTCTCAGGGGACCATATGCAGTGTCAGGGATCAAACCCAGGTTTGCGGCATGCAAGGCAAGTGTTTTTACCCCTGTATGTACCAGTGTTTACTGACACCTAAACAGTTTAGATTATATATTACAGTAGATCTGGATTTGCATTATTTTCCACCTGAGAGTTACCATTGTTGATAGATTTTCTTGATATTATTTACTAAAATACCAGTGGCTTACTTTGGTGTTTGTTGAACCTTGCATTTTTCATTTTCTGTTTTAGTCTGGAGAGCTCAGTGGTTTACCATTTTTCATTCTCAGCACTCTGTGGTCCCCTGAGCACCACCAGGTGTGGCCTCCCAAAAGATATGCACCCCCCCCGTTTTTTTAATCTTGTTTTATTCAGGTTACCTATACATACATAGATTAGTCAGCAGTCATTTGTTGTTCTGACATTCTGCTCAAACACTAGGAGTCAATAGTCTCTCTTCCTGACAGACTTAAGACTGTCTATTGTGAAGAACATTTAACATTTTAGACATTTTTCAGTTCTGCTCTAGCATTTACTTTCTATTGGGTGATGCAGGTTTTTCCTTTGCTTGTGTGTAGCCTCCTAGTTAATTTAGGGATGTCTGCATAAAGAGTTAGTGCCATTCTAGATTTTCTCCTTTTACAGATAATCATCCCAGACAGTAGAAGGATATAGGGAGGGTGCTGGTTCCTCTCCTATCTTCCCCTCTTGTTCATTCATATGTCTTTCCTTTCAGCCAAGGATGTGTGATTGTCTGAGGCACCCTCTTCCCCACTCATTTCTATAGTTTCTCTGGCCTGGGATATAGCTCAGTGGTAGAGCACTTGCCTTGTATGTGTGAGACTCTGATTTAGAAACCTAATAAAGAAAATAACAAAGCCCAGTGTAAGCTATTAAATTTTTGTCCACCAGGCATTGCTCACTTGCACACCACAAAATAAGGTTAATAGAACTATGTATTTTGTCTTCTTCCATTTCCTATTAGGTTGGTTATTTTTTATCAGTTGTGGTTGGGTTTGGGGCTTTGGCCTTCTATACCAAATCACCTTGACACCTTTTAGTACTAAAGAAAGGTGCTGACTTTCGTTGCCTGTTCTACCTTCATTGCACTTTATGCAAACCAACTACTAGCTAGGAATGGACATGATTCCAGGCAGGAGTGCTACCCATAGTTCAACAATTTGTCTTGAATGAAATGTTTCTCAATTTGTTATGTTCAATTTATATAGTCTTGAAATGATGGTTGGATCGGGAGAGAAGCTGTCAGTGTCTTGTACTCCACAATAGAAAGATGTCTTCAGGTGAGGGACAGGTGTTAAAACATTATATGACTGAAGCCAATCATGAACAGCTTTGTAACTATATCTTATGGTGATTCAATTTAAAAAAAAGATGGATTATAATCCACAATTTGGGGATATCAGCCCCATACCATATGAAACACTGAATAAAATCTGCCAAAGTAGAAAGGTGTTTTACTTCTCCACCTCCCCTTTGGGGGAATTGGGTTTGGACTAAACCCAGTGATACTCAAGGCTTATTTCTGGCTCTGTATTCAGGGGACCATAATTGGTGAATTGACCTGGAGTCAATTGTGGGCAGAATAAGCTCCTTAACCCTTGTATGACCCTCCGCCTAAAACATTTCAATGTGCCATGCATGACAAGTTGAGTGTTATTTTTAAAATTCAAGCAAGGGAGCCAGAGAGAGTACAGCGGGTAAGGCTCTTGGCTTGGATGTGGCTGACTCGAGGTCAATTGGCACATGGTATGATCCCCTAAGTTGTGCCAGGAGTGACCCCACTGAGTGGAGAGCTAAGAGTAAGCCCTGAGCACCATCCGGAGTGGCCCAAAAACCAGCCAATCAAATCCATGCAAAGGAATGGCGTAGAAGGAAGTTGGTAATTCTGAGAGAAAGCGAATTAAACAGCTCAGCTCTCTGAAGTAGCATGGGCTGCTAGTAGAGAACAGATACAGGAAAAGGAGCAGGGTATCTGGAGGAAAATGTTTGGTTTGTACTTGTTGAATTGGCTTGACTATTGAAACGTCCAAGTAGATGCAGTTTTAGTGGGCAGCTAGGTTTGAACTAAAAACTCAAAATGAAACGAAGTTGAAAAAGTATGAGAGTTTTTGAGAAAGTAAGCTGTAGGTATGGTGATGTCACCCAGAGAGAGTATATAAAGTGAGTGAGACAAGTGACAGAGTCTATCTTGAAGAATTACAGTGTTTTAGAAGTTGAGATATATGTAGCAAGGTTTACATTAGAATCTTTTTAGGAGTAATTTTCTTAATATTTGAATATACTTTTAAATATATTTTAAATATATATATTTACATTTTAAGAAAAGGGCCATAATTTCAATTCCAAGTGTCTTACTTTTTCTCACAGTGTATTGAAGTTAGAAAAGGAGAGTAGAATAAAGAAGACATGATTATATTATGAGCGCAAATTTCTGTGATGCATTGGAGGAGGGCAGTCTGGAGGGAGGCTCTCATTTGGCAGTCCTCAGGGCTTACTCCTGACAGTGCCTAGGCGACCATAAGGGACACTGTGGATTGAACCCAGGTCAGCTGCATGCAAGGCAAGTGCCCTACTCAACTATGCTATCTCTCCAGCCCCTGTAATGCATATTTTTATTTGTCCTTTCTGAGGACTGTTTTCCCTTGTCCTAAGTGCCTCCTTAAAGCCAGCCTCTAACTTCTGGTTTTTGCCCTTATTAGACATTAGTATATAATATTTTGGTTCTTTTTCTGTGGTCATAGGTCTATGGTTTTACATTTTATATTTCTTCTGTGAGCCATTTTCCTACAAAAATTCATGATTTCTGAAAAAATTATTTTTCCTAACTCTTTTGTAGGCTTTGAGTTAAGCACACTCAGTCCAGTACTGCTACATGTACTCCTGGAGTTTGAGTCTAAGCACAATACATGTGCTTAGCCCTTTAAGCTCGCGCTTGCACATGTGCTCCCGCTCCCTCTCTCTCCTTCTCCCTCTCCCCTCCCCCACCCCCACCACACACATACATATAAATGACTACAGGGACTGGAGAGATTGTATAGCAGGTAGGACATTTGCCTCACATTTGACAACCCCCCAGGTTCAATACCCAGCATTGTATGTGGTCCCTTGAGTGGTGTGACATCAGTACAAAATAATGAATACTGTGTTTTTCTGTTTGGGAATCACAGCCGGCAGTGCTCAGGACTGATTCCTGCCTCTGTATTAAGGGATTAGCCCTGGTGGGGATGGAGAACCATATGAGGTGCCCAGGATTGAACCTGGGTCAGCCATGTGCAAAGCAGGCATGTCACCCACTATACTCTCTCTAGCCTGAATATTGTATTTTGTAGCTTCTCACAATACTCTCTTGAAATTTATTTAGGTCTCAATCCCATTATTTTTTCTCTTCTTTCACATGTTCTTCATTTATTTATAAATTCTGTTTTTAAAAATAAATTTATTTTTTGGATCCAGAGCAATAGTGGGTAGTGTGCTTATACCTTAAATATTACTGTGACCTGGGTTCCATCTTGGGCACCCCTTTCAGTCCCCCCCGAGCCCACCAGGAATGATCCCTGAACATAGAGAGCCAAGAGTTTATCCCCTAATACTTCCAGGTATGATCATAAAACAAACAAACAAAAAAAAACAAAAAAAGGAATATTTTCAAGTTCCTCCCTTTCTTCCTTCAGTTTCCATCTTGGAATGAAATCTAGTATCTTCAAACTGAATCTACTTCTAATTTGCTTTAGTGAATCTCTACAAATATGGTGTTTTTCTTTTATTATCACTTTCAAAAACTGTTCTTATTTCTCTTGATAAGGTAATGTGGCATACTTGTTAATATCCAGGTTGTTTTTCATAAAGGAGTCTAGAAATCAGTTTAAATATTGCTGTATTTATATGAGTATTGATGTATAGGGACAGGCTTTATAGTAGGGTAGGTTAGTGTCTCTCAACATCTTTCCCAGCTGCGGTCACCTGACCTTATTTCCTTCTTGTGCCCCTTCTAAAAGAATTTTCTGAGGGCCCACAGGACACCATATGGCCTCTGGATGAGAAATGCTAGTATAGACTGTAAGGGAGAATATTTTACTTGATTGGGTGCATGATAGTAAGATAACACAGTCTATTTTAATTTAGTCCAGACTCTTTGTGTGTGTGTGTGTGTATATGTATATATATATATATGTGTGTGTGTGTGTGTGTATATATATGTGTGTGTGTGTGTGTGTATATGTACATATACATACATACACACACACACACACACACACATACAGTTTCTCATTGGGTTCAAAATCAGTACTGTATTGAGATACAAGATTTTGTTACCCAAATTACTTTGCTATAGTGTTAAAAATTCTGTATAGGGGCCAGAAATACAGCTTAAGTGGTAGAACACATGCATCATATATGCAAGCTCCTGAGTTCATTCCCCAGTACTGCCAGGTGTGGCCCACCACGTACCACTGGGCTCACCCTGATAGCAAGAACTGGTGGGGTGATTCTAATGACCCCTTGAACCCTGAAACCATCAGGACCACTGGAAATGGCCCAGGTTCCCCAACCCTACTGCCTGTTGCCTCTATAAAAATTCTGTTTCATGTCAGAGAGATAGTATAAAACGTACTAAGATAATTGTTTTGCCTGGGACTGCAACTCTGGGGGGTTGATGGGAGGGAACCTGGGGACACTGGTGCTGGGAAATGTACACAAGTGAAAGAATGGGTGTTGGAATACTGTATGACTGAAATCCAATCATGAACAGCTTTATAAGGGTCTGTCTCACAGTGATTCAGTAAAATTAAAACAAAAATCTCCACAATATATATGGTCACCACCTAGGGTCATTCCTGAGCACATAGCTAGCTGTAACCCATAATCACGTTGAGTATGGCCCCAGTTACCCCTGACACTAATCTGCTTAAAAGTAGGGGAATATAAAACAAGTTAGGGAAAAAAAGGTTGAAATTGGGTTTTTAGTCTATTGAATACAGTAAGTTTATCATTGTACTCTATTTTTCTGTGTGTTTGAGAATGTCCTTTATTGCTTAAATAATAGAATAGTAACTTTGTTAATATTTGATTTTTTTATAGAGTAAAGACAAGATAGCATCTTATAGCAAAACTCCAAAAATTGATCGAAGTGATGTGGGGAAGGAAATGAAAGAGAAATCATCCATGAAACGTAAACTTCCTTTTACTATTAGCCCATCAAGAAATGAAGAACGAGATTCAGACACAGGTAGAATAATTACTGATTATGGTAAAATGTTATTCTTTTACTGAGACTTTCTGTTCATGTCATTCTTCTTACCATAGTTTATAGAGTAATATTTTTTATTTTGCGTTTCTTGCAAATCTCTAAACACTTTCAGAGCTTTCATTTTTCAGGGAACTTGCCAGTGATGAAAGTTTTCTCAGTGATATCCTAAGACCTGGAAAATGTAAAGGGAAACCACGGTTTTATAGACACATTAATGAACCGTCCAAAGAAAAGAAAGTTTGGTGACTCTAAAATCAGAAGTGAATTACAAACATCTCCCCCAAAGTTTGAGACTTAACTGCCTACCTCAATTCTTCGTACGTTTTTCCTTCACCCATTCTTTCACTTGTGTACATTTCTCTTAAAAATGGTCCTCAGTTATTCATAATAAATTGGAAGCTTTACCACTGTCTTAATTAAAGTTCCTAGCCCCGAGCTTATCATTCCTTGAAACTAATAAACTTGAACACTGGTTGTGTATTTAAGTTTTCTTATACCTTGCTGAAATATTATTAATGAACTATTCTTAAGATGTTTGGGTTTCACTCAGAAAGTTAATGTTCCATTTTGAGTTTATAGACAAGAGATTATGTATTAATGTTTTTATAGTCCTCATATGGAAGTGTTCTTGAATGGAATACTTGAAAATAAAGGTTTCTGAAATGACTGGGATTAATACAATTTTAGAAAATACTTGATTTTCAATATAGATTTTTAGGTAGGCCTCTCTGTGTATTTTATTATCTCTCTTAGCTTCAACTAAATATTGTTTTTTGGTTTGGGGCCATACTTAAAAGTGCTCAGGGGCTATTTTTGGTCCTGTGCTCAAGAGTCATAAGTGATGCTGAGAATCCAAACCAGGGTCACTGTGGACACAGTTACATGCAATCATATGGTTCACTTACTGTACTATTTAACTCCTTGAACCTAAACATTGTTCTTAAGGAACACTCATGGCACTTTTATTTATTTTTCTTTTGGATGGGGGAGAGGGCTCCTCACAAACAGTGCTTAGAAGGCACAGGCACCCTTCCTGGCATTTCTTAACCAACTAGATTAGTGGTTTAATGCCTGAGTCCTGCATGACAGGAATTACCAAAACCATACCTCACCTATGTGCTGGAAGACCTCCAAGGCTGCACCTGGCAATTTTTAGGTAGCCAAATGGTGTCAGGGATTGAACCAGCCTTGCACATGGCCAACCCTGATTTGATCCCTGGCACCACATATGTTCCCCAGAGCACCTCCAGGTGCGTCCCCCCCAAAAAAGGAAATTAATTGCTTTCTTTTTATTTCACAAATTTTATGCTGTGGCCAGGTAGGTAGCTTGGGGGTCAGGAACATATGCATTGCATTCTCAGGGATCTCAATTCAGTTTTATTCCACAAGACTTCCTGAGCATTGCCAGGTACCAGCTCTGCATGCCCTCTACTTACTGTGAGTGTGGTCCTGGTGGCCCCATATCATGGTTCTAAGCAGCAATTCCTAAGCTTCTGGCCTTGTTGGACAGGGACCACTGGGAATGGCCCCAGGGCATCACTCCAAAAGAAATCACATGCCTTTTTTATTTTAAAATACACTTTTTTCCCCCGGAGATTGAGATTTTTTTTTCTTCCCTCAAGCATCTTTTCTCCTTTATACTCAGCAATGTTTTCCAGCTGTTTAAGACCACTAAGTGGAGGAATAAGGTGATATTTACGTGTCTAGAGGTATATCTTTGAGGTTTACTTTCTCTCATGTTAACTTTTCTCCTTGGCATTTCCTTTACTAGTCATTTTTAAAAGTAATTACACAGGCTTTGCTACTTTGATACACTACATAGGTATTATACTCCTAGTAAATAAACTGAAGAGAGTTTAGATAAATTCAGAGAAGTTACATTGTTAGAAATAAGGTTTCAGTATAATAAACTTCACAGGAAAACTTTTGTTATTCCAGTGACTTGTTTCTTAGTTCAAACAAAATAAAAATTTTAAGGTTACTTTGGGTAATAGGTATATCTTGGGCAGTGAATACATATTATCTAATTCATACTTTATTAATTTGATTATATACTTTCCCCATCTCCAGTTTTTCCATTATTTGAATGTAGTGTGGTGTTGTACTTTTCTAAGACTTTTATTTCACAATCTTTTTTGGAGGGCTGGAGCAGTAGTACAGTGGGTAGGGTGTTTGCATGTGGCCCACCCAGGTTTTGATCCCTGGCATCCCATATGTTCCCCCAAGTACTACCAGAAGTAATTCTGCAGTGCAGAGCCAGGTGTAACCCCTGAGCATTGCCAGATATGGCCCAAAAACAACTGTGTATAACTTTGTTACAAAGAGTATATGCTCTTAACTAAGTAGTACTAGGTTGATTGAAACATAAACATTTATATTTTTGTAGACTGAATTGATAAGCTTTATTAGTAGTATATAAGACTTTGCAGTTTGTACATATGCATGTACAAACAAATATGTACACACATACAGAGCATTAAGAACTTCATTTCTGGGTTTGAGTGTTAGTATAGTGGATAGGGTGTTTGCTTGCAGAAGTCCAACAAGGCTTTAATCCCCGACACCATGTATGTCTCTCAAGCCTGCCAGGAGAGCTTCTTGAACTCAGAGCCAGAAGTAAGTGCTGAACACCACCAGGCGTGGACCCACCCCCCACCCCTCAACAAAAGGAAGGAAAAGAAAAACCTCAGTCCCAAACTAAAATGTCATATTTGCAGTTAACTACCTATTTTTATGATAAAAAATTTTCCATATAAAAGGTAATTGAACCCCCATCCACAAAATAATCAAATACTATTTGACAAACCCTTGACCTGAGAATACAAAACATTACCGGGGGTAAGGGAGAGCCAGACTAGAGGTAACATAGAGACAGCGGGGGGAGGTTTGTGTGAGATAATAAAAGGTAATTATAGCAATAAAGCCCATTTCCTACACTAATCCCATCTGTAGGTATACTGTATTTTAAATAGCTGAAAGTATAATAAAGCTGTAGAAAGAAAAAATTTTTACAGCATATATAGCAATTTTTGTCTATTTTGTACTTAAGCTTGATTTTTGTTTTTCTTTTTCCTTTTGGGCCACACTTAGCGATGCTCAGGGGTTACTCCTGACTGCGCTCAGAAATTACTCCTGGCTGTGCTCTGGGGACCATGTGAGATGCCAGGAATCAAACCCGGGTCACCCATGTGCAAGGCAAAACCCTGCCCTACCATCACTTTGTCCCCCAGCATTTCTTAAAAGACAAACACGGATGGAAAACATAACAAAAGTCACAAACAAATCATTCAGGACACAACATTTTAATTGACGAATACATGAAAATATGTCAATATTAATAATGAAAGAAATAGTACTTGGCACTTAGAGCGAAGATGACTTTGACCTACATATATACAATCATTGGTTAGAAATCAAGATATGCTTTAATTGGTCTAAGTCAGAGGTCCTCAGACTTATTTAACCTAACACCCCCTTTGCAGAAAATAAAAATCACTCAGCGTCCCCTTGGAAGTTTTCCTTTAAGCAATGTCCCCCTCCATACCTGAGCCTCCTCCCATGCATCTTCCTCCGCCCTCAGTCTACTGGTGGCTAGTGGTAATCGTCCACTGTAGAAAACACTGGTTATGGGAATACCTTTCTAGTGGTAAGCAGAATGCCATAGCTCCCAAAACTGAAAGCAGTTGCCTTCAAGATGCTTAACTGAGTTTTGTAATAGACCAAAAAATATTTTTAGAAAGCATTTCAGTGTTCAGTGATAAAATATTTGTAAAATTATGGTAAGTGCAATGAAAAAATGTTTACCCTTAAAAATAATAGTGTAGGGGTCTAGATAGAGCATTTGCCTTGCATGCAGCCAACCTGTGTTCGATCCCCGGTATCCTATATCCCCGGCATCCCAGCACCACCAGGAGTAACTCCTGAGTGCAGAGCCAGGAGTAACCCCAGAACATTGCTGGATGTGACCCAAAGAACAAAATAATAATAATATAATAATAAAATAACATTGTAGGAGAACATAGAGTATGGAAAGTTGTTCATAGTAAAGTGAAAAAAGGGTTATGAAACTTTGAACTGCTTCACTGTACCAAGTCATATTTTATGTAATTTTTGTACATATATGTTTTATACATGTGAAAAAGCTAGACCCATAAAAACATTAAAATATAAAGGACTTTCATCTTAAATTTATTAAAACTAAGTGTAAACCTAGTGTGTTGTGAGTACAACAGAATGTAAATATTATAAAAGTAGATACTGACAGTAAATAAAGAATAGGAGATAGTAATTAAGGAAAAACTTTACATTTTGGCCTCAAACCATCCATACCCAAAAGAAATTAGGATTTTAAGCCCTGAGTACTGCCTCAAGGTGTGGCCCCAACTGCCCCTCCAACCAAAAAAGAATTTCTTATCAGAAACTTCCTATATACTTTATCTCATGAAATATTGAGACATATATATATATATGTTGAGACATATATATAACCCAGCTCCCAGAAGAGAACAGCGCAGAGTCTCCCTGCCCCTGTGCCTGGCTGTCCTTACCGGGGCCCCTTGGAGGGAAGCGAGTTGAGTTTCCCTCCCCACCCCGACCAGGGCTCCAGCAGCCGAAGACCTCCAGGACCAGCCACCACCATGCTGAGACCACTCTCCACAGGCGTGAAGGTACCGGCAGAGGAACAAAGGCATGCGGGTCCCGAGGCTGAGATCTCCAAGCATGCTCGGACTGGGGCTGAGCATCCTCCACCCAGATCCTCCTTTTCCAGTAGGCAGGGGTCACACCCACCAACTGGCCCCCTGGCGCCATGTAATCCCATCAACAGCCAAGACCCACAGACTATAAAACCCAGCTCCCGGAAGCGAATGCAGCCGCGCGACATCTTATTATCTCATTCTTACTTTGGACAAACTGGCAGGCTACTGAATGTAACCTGCCCACACGGCAGAGTCTGGCAAACTCCCCGTGGTGTAACCAATATGCCAAATATCAGTAACAATGATGGGTCTCATTCTCCTAACCCTGAATGAGCTTTGATCTTTGATATGGCACTTAAAAAAAAAAAATCTCAGAACTAGGACAAAGGAGACGTTACTGGGGCCTGCTCGAGGCAATCGACGAACAGTTCATATACATACACACACACACACACACACATATATATATATAGCAACTCATTGAAGCTATAGGAGCATAAAAGCAGATACTTCTTTTCTAGGAGACAATTTCTTACACTTCATCAATGTAATAATTTCTAGGAGACATTATTTCTTCCACAAAATCAGCTTGCTTTAGCATTTATTTTTAACTTTTATTTTTTATTTTTCCTTGTCTTTTTCTTTTTTAGTTTAATATTTTCTTTATTTTCTTTTTCCTTTTAATTGAATCACCATGAGCTACACTTAAAGCTTTCATGTTTATCCTAGTCTTATCTTGAACTTGTGATAAGGATAAATTATTGTAAGTGTAGTAAAGATAAACGATGTTTTTATTGTCTGACTTTGGAGGCTAATAGGCCAGTGTTGAGTTACTTGCTCAGTGCTGTATTACTTATAATGATCAAATAATTTGGGTTTTTTTTGTTTTGGGATCACACCTGGCTGTGTTCAGAGGCTACTTCAGCCTCTCTGCTTGGGGCTCCATGTAATGCCGAGGACTGAATCAAAACCTTTGCACACAACCCATTGAGCTTGCTCTCTAACACTTGAGTATTTTTTCCGTAAGTCTCTGTTTCTTTCTCCGCCCCTCTCGGAGAGCCAGGCAAGCTACCGAGAGTATCTCGCCCACACAGCAAAGCCTGGCAAGCTATCTGTGACGTATTTAATATGCCAAACACAGTAACAAGTCTCACAATGCAGACGTTACTGGGCCCGCTCGAGCAAATGGGTAAACAACGGGAGGACAGTGCTACAGTGCTCTATTCCTTTGTCTCCAAGAGTACTTGTGATAATTTTAACTTTGAAGAATTATTACCATTAGGTAATATAAAATGAATTTGTAATTCATTAGTTAAATAAAATAGAAGACTAACGTTGGCTAGTCAATAGGCATGCTTTTAAATATCATAAACTAGGCATAGGCAGGTAGTTTAGATTTAGTATAGCTGTTGAGTAATGCCATCTGGACTGTTTTCCATGTCTCTGCTCTATCACTCTGAATTCATGTGCTAATATCCTTAAGTATTTTACTTTATAGTCACAACACAGTCATCTGCTGCTTTCTGGGCAGGATGTAGAAGAAGGACAAACAACAGAAGTATTATTTTACCAGAGAAAATTTGCCTATTACTGATTAAACAACCTCCATAAGAATTTTCATCTATGTCTTACTGGTTTGATTGCCCTTACTGCAGGGGAATACAAAAATGCAAATACTTTTAGTTAGCCATACTGCCACCCTAAATGAAAACAGAATATTGCCGGTAGAAGAGTAATTCTGTGGGCACTTAAAATAACTTGCTGTATACAAAGTGTTGTATCCAAGGAAAAGCATAATCCTTTGACATGAACATGTTAGCTATCTTGAAGCTACATATAAGAATTATTTTATTATGAGTGATGCTAGTTAAGAACATCTTAGAATAGTGTAGTTTTTATTATTCCCTACATTTTAAGAATAATTACTTTGTAACAAATCAGAAATAAAAACCAAACTTTAAAATTTGGTTTGTATTTTATTATTATTTTGGTTTGAGTGCCATGTCCCTCTGTTCTCACAGCTTACTCCTGTACTTCTACAAAGTATTTTCATGAGCCTTTCATATAGTGATATTTCTCCAAAATAATAAATTGTTACAAAATTTCCAGTAGTCTGTTCTTCAGCTAAAATAACATTGGGGTACTTTATTTTTTGTTTATTTGGTTTTCCTTGGTTTTCCCTTTTTGTTTTTAGGTTTACTAGACTATATATTTCTGTAGAGGAAAGCCAGTAGTACTTCATCCTTCCAGTTTGTTGAAATAAGTAGAATAATGTGTTTTTCACTTAAAAAATTATCCTAGCATAGTTTGCTTTTTTTCCCCCCTTCATTTGACTTTTGTAAATAATGTGATATGAGAAAATCTAGATACGTACTACTCCCAAAATCCCTAATGGCAGCTGTGGGTATATTCAGTGTTAACCAATAAATTCTGAGAGCCAGTTTTTACCAGTTTTGAGACGTTTGATAACTTTGAAGTATTTACCTTAATAGGACTCAGGCAGATTTTGAGAGAAGAGGCAGATTTTGTTCTAAAATTAAGTTTTGTGGAGTTCATGCCCAATTCAGTCATCTTAATTAGTGACTGAATAAATAGCAGTACTCCTACATACATTTAAAATAAATAAATAAAAGTTTTGGTGGCTGAGGGAAATAAATGGCAACAATGAATTTTTTGCTAAATAAGGATGTTCATCTTTTATTATTTTGTTGTTTGTGGGTCATACCAGCATTGCTCAGGGCTTACCTCCTGGCTCTGAGATACAAATGGGTGTTAGGGATCAAGCTGGTTCGGCTGCATGTAAGACAAGCTCTTTAACAACCCTGTACTATATTTTCAGTCTTTTTCGATGATTTTCCTGGATTTTAATTATTATAGATTTGCTTTCATTCTTCCACTGTGATAGTGTATTAAAAATCTTCACTGTATAACACTACATTTTAAAAATAATTTATTTTGTGACAAATCAGAAATAAAAGCCAAACTTTAAAATTTGGTTTGTATTTTATTATTATTTTGGTTTGAGTGCCATACCCCTCTGTTCTCACAGCTTACTCCTGTCTCTGTGCTCAGGGATCACTCTTGGCAGTACTCAGGTATTGTAATATACTAGAGTATGGGTGCTAGAGATTGAACTGGGGTAGGCATTGTAGAAGCAGGTGCCTCTTAACAAACTGCTATCTCTTGCCCCTAAAGTAAGATTTTAATAATATTGCTTGTTTGACTCTGCAATAGAAAATATCAAGGAAAGAAATTATTCCACTTTGCACTTAGTGCCTTACCAGAAAAACATATTGATAGCAATAATCTCATAGTCTAAACTTAGTATAGCATAGAACGTAGAAATGCTCAAGCAAATGTACAGAATATAAGAACTTTTCATTTTTTAGATACTAATTAAATTTTTAGACATTCAGGTGCCCCAAATAAGAGCATTCTTATTTGAGTAAAAGCCAAAGGTCTGTAGAGTCAGGGTGGATTGATTACTTCCATTGGAAGATTTTAGATAAGTTGTTATAACAACTCACCTTCCTTATTGTAATGATTCTAATTCAATGTTCGATTTATCTGTTTTCCTTTAAATGGTTACAGTATGATTTGTTGATACAATTATGGTAGCCACTATTTGCTTAGTGCTTGGAAGCTATTTTTAATTTTTCATAAAATATCAAAAATACTTAATTAAATTGTATCTATTAAATATATTCAGTTTTGAAATATTCATTGAAAGCCTTAACAGTCTGTTTATCTACTTGCTGTAGAATTAGTCTAAAAGTCATTTTATTAATAGATTCCCTTTTCAGTTGAGTTAACCTCTTACCACAAAAACACATACTTTCAGATGCTGTGATTTAGGTATTTTCTGGCATCTAACTTGTGAATGATATTTATAATAAAGGTCCTAGAAAAGAACTATGTAAAATTGAGTATATGAATATCCAAAATATTGTTATAATTTAAAGCATTTATTCAGAGAATATCAGCTCTGGCCATATTGCCAGCAGTTACTTTATATTCCTGTTTCTCTGTAACAAATTCTTCAACATAATTTCTTTTCTTTCTTTGTTCTTTTATCACACCTAGTAGTGCTCAGAGCATACTCCTTCCAACATCCAGGGGAATGGAACCTGGGGCTTCCACACACAAAGCATGCATGCCAATTTTTTGAGCTCTCCCCGCTGGTATTCATACTCGCTGAAGAACTTTGATTTGACTCAGACTACTTCTTTCTTAAGAGGTCTTTAGTAGGGATCATTATAGTGAATTCATATAATTTGAGATGTGTATGATCTATAGAAAGATTTTTTTAAGTCTGCACACTAATGTGTTAGTAATTTTGGCACATGAAATAAAAAAGGCGATTCAAGTATATTTTCAATTTTTCTACAGGTAAAATTTACATAGGAAGAGTAGTAATAGAGTACAACTTTTTTTTTTTACCATTTTTCTGATGAAAAAAAATAGCCTCAAAATAGATGTTTTAATAGACATCATCAGTATAATTAACTTTTTCAACTTTCATATTCCTATTGAAGAAACTGAAATCATAGGTATTGGCCAAACCTGTGTTTAACTTTACTTTTGGCTAATCTTTTGGAAAAATAAGGATATATCATTGACCTATTAGTGCTCTTTTAAAAAATGTTGGTTTGTTGAATTCTGCATTTCCCTTCGTGTGCTTTTTTCTTTTCTCCTGTCTCTTCTCATTCTGTAGATTCAGATCCAGGACATACAAGTGAAAATTGGGGGGAGAGACTTATATCTTCTTACAGGACATACTCAGGTAATCAGATCATCAGGTGCTCCTCTGTAGTCAGTGGTTTCTGCCGCATTAACTATTATTGTGCTATGAATAACTTCTTTACATACAGCATATGAATATCTTTGTAATAAGTGAAGTATATAAGTGACACTAAATTTTCTAGATTTTGTTTTAGATATCCGGTGTGTTGTTATCAGCATATGCTATATGTGAACTTCATAAGCTTTTAAAATATCACCAGGACAGTGTAGCGCAAAGTGGGGGACACTAGTCTTATAGAAAATAGTCTCAATTTCAGCTTCTGCAATTTGTGCAGTGCAGCAACTGTTATGAGACGATACCAAAGTCTTAGTCTCTTTTTCTATATATCTTTCTTAAGACGTTATACCAGATATATTCATTTCAATATATATTGCCAACTAATTCTTTGGTCATACAATTTTTTTTTTTGAGCAGGGGTCAAGTCCTGTGGGGGTCAGGTCTTGCTTCTGACTCGTACTCAGGGATCGCTCCTGGTGAGGCTCGGAGAACTGTTTGAGATGCCGGGTATCAAACCTAGGTTGGCTAAATGCAAAGCAAGAACCCTACCCACTGTACTGTCGTCTCCAGCCCTGTGCAGTGTTTTTTCCTAAAAACACATCTAAAATTTTTTGCAGTTGAAGTCTTTATTGACTTTGCTTTTCATGTTGAATTTAAAAGTAAAGTGAGAGCTGGGTGGATGGCTCAATTTGTAGATCTCATTCTTAGCTTGTACACAGCCTTGAGTTCAACCTCTAGCCTAACATGGTCCACTGGGCACCATTAGGTATTTCCCTAATGGCCCCAGAGAACCACACGACCAGGACAAGCACTGCTAGGATGGACCTTTTTGGAAAGGTGTGGTATCAAATTGCCTGGAGAAAATGACCTCATCATTTCTTGAGTTAGAATCTATTTGTTCATCCATGACACCAGGTTAATTAAACTTAATTGCTCCAGCTGGAAGAATACAAGAGAATGTATACAGATACTGTCATTTGAATGAAGCATAAACATTTTCTCTGTGAAAACTGTTAGGTTTTTTTATTGCCATTTTTATCATAGAACTTTTTTAATTAAAATATTTTTTAGTCTTGGATATCTTTAATAGGTGTCCAGTTCTTGCATATTATTTTTAACTGAAAAAAATGTAATAAACCTGCTTTGATAAACATTCTTGTTGATTTTGTTTTGGGACCATACCTGGCAATGCTCAGGAATCACTTCCAGCAATGTACTGGGACCCTATGGGATACTGGGAATTAAACCCGCCTCATCCACCTATAAGACAAGCACTCTCCCATTGTACAGTGTCTGCATCCCCACACCCTTTCATTTTTACATTCATGTGTTGGGAAGGGAGAATGCTGAACAAGTAATTATTTTTGAAATTATCCTGAAAGCTATTTGAACCTTCAAATTTTGAGGGTTGGAGGCAGGGGATGTTTATAATGAGCACTAAAATGAAAAAGATCTGAAGTTTCTGTGAGGTTAATGTACATTTCTGAAATGAAACCTATAAATGCAAAGTACCTGGAAGAGTTGTTTGTGATGAAGACATCAGTGATCTGAGCATTATTGCTAGTAATTGGAAGATAGGAGCACTTACTATGGGAGATTTGTCTAGAAATTTTAGAGTAATAACTTCTTCCCCCTCTGAATTAAAATATACACGTTCCAAAGTTGGTTGATCTTTATTTGAATGGTAGCTCTGTTGTTTTGTTCCTTGAATAGAGTCACAGCTTTATGGGACAATAAGGTTTTTTTTTTTTTTATGTTTTTGAGATACTGGTAGGTTTATGAAACAGTTCTCAATGAAATACAGTTTTCTATTTTTTTATCATTAAGGTCTGACCACATTTAGCTTTTTGTTTATTCTGACAAAACTTGAAAAAGAGAGCAATAATTTTCAATATAAGAGTGAGATGCTGTGCATTTTTGAAGATCCTCTGAACATTTAATTGATTTTTGACAAGCTCATTATTGGGTGGCTTTGTGGAATTTTAAGTCTATGTAAGACTATGCTGTGTGAAAACATGTCAGTATTCTGTGCTTAATTGTTCAGTTCTGACTCACTGTTTGGACACATACATGCTAGGTAAAATTTGAAAAGTATCTGACTTTTCTAAACACATAATGATCATTTACTTCTAACAAATCAGAAAAAACAAGTTTGTCATAGGATAGATTCCAAAATAGCCTTGTTGAATGCCTTAATCTTGGAAAAAGCTCACTTTGGGACAGGTTAATAGTTGTAAAGTAATTTTAAATGGTATACATATTATCTCTAACCTAGTTTTCCTATTCCTATTGTTTTTCATACCTATTTTTCTTACCTCCTATAAGTCATGAATTCAGACAAACAAAGGGATCAATGGAAAAATAGAGTTCATGTTGAATGCTAGTATCAAATTTCATTTTGCAGAATTTTGGAGTATATTTAGTTTGTTCTTTTGGGGGTAGTGCTTCCCAAAAAGTGCATGGGAACCACCAGTGACACACAAACAGTGATGCTGGGGAAGGGAGTATGTGGTGCCAGAGATTGAATCAAGGTCTCACATGAAAGCACTAGCCCTTTTAGCTATCTAACCCAATTTGTGTTTTCTTTCCCAGAATGGATCATTATACATTTGAACATTTGGCAGTATGGAATTCTAAGTAGTTCACAATTTTTTTTCTAAAATTTTTTTTCTAAAATCTGCATTCCTTACGTTAAAGCACATTCTTTAAAAAATACTTTTTAAAAATAAAAACCAAAAATTAAAAAATTTAAAACCAAAAATTCGGTTGTAGTTTTGCAGATGAGGAAATAAAAGAAAAATGTTGGGAGAAAATACTGCATTTTGTCAACACTTGATGGTGTTCAGAGGTTCCTTGGTACTTGGGAAATTGCAGTCCCCGGAATCCAGCCTAGCTCTCCCACACACAAAATATGCCCTTAGACCAGTGAGCTGTTATTCCTCCAGCCCTGGAAATTATTTTTAAGAATATGGTCTTTTAGCACAGCAGGTAGGGCGTTTGCCTTGCACGAAGCTGACCTGGCCAACCCAAGTTTGATTCCTCTGCCCGTCTCGGAGAGCCTGGCAAGCTGCCAAGAGTATCTCACCCGTACAGCAAAGCCTGGCAAGCTACCCATGATGTATTCGATATGCCAAACACGGTAGCAAGTATCACAATGGAGACGTTACTGAGCCTGCTCGAGTAAATCGATGAACAACGGGAGGACAGTGCTACAGTGCTACTTCAGTTACTTGATTTTACTTATGACACCTCTTCTATTGTTTTTAAAATTTGCACACGTAGATACTTGAGTTTTAGGCAAGAAGTAGATTTAAAAATGTCAATCAGGGGGCCGGAGCGATAGCACAGCGGGTAGGGCATTTGCCTTGCACGCGGCTGACCCGGGTTCAATTCTTGTCATCCCATATGTTCCCCCAGGCACTGCCAGGAGTAATTCCTGAGTGCAAAGCCAGGAGTGACCCCTGAGCATTGCTGATGTGACTGCAAAAAAAAAGAAAAGTCAATCATTTGGAAAACTATTCAGACAATACAATTGTATTTTTTCATTAAATACTAAAAAACTAAGCCGTACATAAGACATTTGAAAGCAAAATGTGTAAGGAAAATAAAGTTTTCCGATACACATGTGTGGGGCCTTACTGTAAGTTTAGCAATTAACCAGATTAAATACTTTGAAATAGGATTTATACTAAATTAGTGCTTTAATGATAATATGAAATGAAAATACAAAGATAAAAATATATTAGAGCTACTGATATAGTCTGGCCTAAATATTTAAAAACAATTTTTTGTTATGTAAAATCAAATGTCAGCAAAGGAAACCTTTTGAGAACTCTAGAATTTTGAGGAATTTTTGAACAACAGTTTGATTAGAACCTCTAATTTTTCAGCATCCAAATTAGTTCATTCAAATTAAATGATTATATTGCAAGAATTATTAACTTTGATTCTTAAGCCTGAAATGAAAATATTTTTAGCAGTCTCAGTTTTGTTAGCTTCTTGAATTTTCTTGATTAATGAATGCTTTTCTCCTAGAGTAATGTAGCTGCTGGCCATGTTGCCAGATTTTTTTTTAAAAAAAAACCTCTATTAATAAGCATTTCCTTTCATTCATTTTTACTATATTTTACATTCATTTAAAAAAATTACTTTGGTAGAACCTCATGTTTGAATCAGTAAATTCCAGCCGATTTTTTTTTAAGGTTTCTCAAGAAATAGATACCTGGACTATTGATTGGCAGATCCTCTCCATTGATTTATGCATAACCATTTGAATTAACCAGAAAAGTTCTAAAGATTCCTATTTCAGTTTGGCTCCTGGAAATCAGTTCTATCTGAATGTTCTGGCACTGAATGAGAAATGCTGACTGATTTGCCAGAGGATTTCTTCTATAGCTTATTGGAGAACTGCCTTTATGATACATCTATTTCTTTGAAAATTCCTTAAACATTTTTGAATATTTGCAGGAACTTTGGATATTTGCAGGAACTTGGTTAGCTGCTGCCCTCCCTATCCTTATCTTCCTCACACAGAATCTTTAATTTGTTCATTTTTAATGTTGATTAATACTGTTCAGTTCTTAGCTATACTGTGACAAGTAATGTTGAGGTTTTTCTTTCAGTAATTGCTGTGTAATGAGATCTTAAGTGCTTAGTCCTTAGAAGATTATACAAATCATTAGTGGAATTGGTGAAGTGATTTGAAAGAACATTATGACAAAGGCTTAGTACTATTTAAGAAACAGTAATTAAGAATATATTTACATCTGACATAATTCTGGTAATGAAAGAAGATTCAATGTTTTAATACCAGGACTGCCTGAAATAATATTAAAGAGTGGGGTCAGAGATATAGTATAGCGGGTAAGGCTGTACTTTGCTATGCTGGTTTGCAGACCCAGGTTTAGTTCCCAGCACTACATACAGTCCCTGAGTACTGCCAGACTTAAGCCCTGAGCCAAGCCAACTGTGACCCAAAAAAAGCAAACAAAAAAGAAGTATTGAAATTAAATTTTTGGTAGGGCCAATACATTCAATGTTATTTTCTAAAGACAATAAAAAATATTTTTTTTACAGCATTCAGAATGAAGTTTACTTTTATATTAAAATAAAGTCTAGTGCTCTTTTGTCTGTGTTCATATATAGCTCATATACATTGATAGCATTTCTTGTAAACATTTATTTTGTTTTTGAGTGTTTCAGATTCTCAAATATTTATTAATAATTTCAGAAAAAGAAGGTCCAGAAAAGAAGAAGACAAAGAAAGAAACTGGAAATAAGAAGTCCACACCAGTTAGCATTCTTTTTGGTTATCCACTGTCAGAACGAAAACAAATGGCACTTCTTATGCAGATGACAGCAAGAGATAACAGTCCAGGTAAAACTTAGTTGAGATCACGTATATTTTTTTCTCAGATGATTGTAAACTTGATTTAATAATTTTTGACATAAAATAATTTTATATATTTGTATATATTTAATATTTTATATTTTCTTTCCTAAACTGTATTTAATAAAGTTGTGGCTTACAAAGTTGTTCATAATACAGTTCTTGTAGGCATTTAATGTTCCAGCACCAGTCCCACCACCAGTGTGACCTCCCCTCCAACATTGTTCCCAGTTTCTCCCCCCCCTTAGTAGGCTCAAAATTATTTTATATTGCTTGTTAGAACAAAGATGGCAAATGGGGTTATTAAGAAATAGTTCAGTAAAAGAAAATCTGTGAAAATTGTTACATCTCACAATGTGGTTATTAAAGTTAGTGTTTACTGAGCAGTTTTTTGCTAGTTGAGCCTTTTGTATTTTTTTGTTGGCTTAGCTTAGTTGGCATCTGTTCTACTTTCCATCTAATTTTCTTTGCTCCTGCTGGGAATTTGGAATATTGTGGAATTTGGGAGTGTTGCACAGCCACATATGTACTGCATGCTTCAGGAACTGCCACGGTCTGTAGAAATGGGATGATTTTCCATCCACTCCCCACACCCACACTCACCCCAGGGGTCCCCAGAGTTTTCATCCTGAAGGTCTATAGCTTGGCTTGGCATCTCTTCTGAGATTTGTCATTAAGATGGGCCATTGTTTTAATGGCGTTTCTGGCAGTACAGGGGTGTAGGGGAGATTGCCCCACCCCCCACTCTAAGAAGATCCCAGAGTTTTCAGCCTGAAAAATGATATACCTGGGAGTTTTGTTTACTTGTTGCATGATAATTATTTTCTGTCTGTATTCTTCACCAGATAAGAAGATATATAAGAGCAGGGATTTTAGTTTTGGATTTGGGGCTTGACCTAGCAGTGCTGAGGGGTTACTTCCAGCTCAGAGATTGGGATTCATCAGCTGTACTCAGGAGACCATGTGATACTGAGAATTCAGCCTTTCCTTCTATGTGCTCTAGCCCTTGGAGTCTTGGGTCCCAAGAGAAGGGATCTTTAGACTAAGTGAACGTTCAGTGAATATTTGTCACCTAAAAGGAGTGATTTAGACACCAGTCAACTCAGGATTCCTATTTTACAGAATTTTGTGTTACTACCTTACTGATCATTTTGTTTTATTGTTAGGCTACATACTGATCCTTATCATTGAACTGTTTTTTATAAAGCTTCTCTGGATTTAGAATTTACTTTTTAGTTTATTAACATACTGGTACTAACAGTCTTAACACATTATTATTTGTAGAAATAAGTCTGTAATCCTTGTTTCATTTAATAAAGGTAAAGGCCCTCCCGTTGTTTGTCGATTTGCTCGAGCGGGCCCAGTAACGTCTCCATTGGAGACTTTGTTGTTACTGTGTTTGCCATATCGAATACGTCACGGGGAGGTTGCCAGGCTCTGCCGTGCGGGCGAGATACTCTTGGTAGCTTGCCGGGCTCTCCGAGAGGGGCGGAGGAATCGAACTCAGGTTGGCCATGTTGGCTGCGTGCAAGGCAAACGCCCTACCGCTGTGCTATCGCTCCAGCCCTTATTCATTTAATATCTAAATTAAAAGAAAATATCTGCAAATGTAATTTCTTTCTTATTTAATGCTTTCTAATTAAGGTGTTTCTAATTAAGGTGTTGTGCCACATGTTCATATGTTTATTCATATATTGTGAATATATGAATAAAACTGATTAAGGTGGCATAGCAGCAGAACTTAAACAAAAAGAATTAACAAACCCAATTTTTTTAAAAAAGTGCTGAAAGGTATATGAAACCAGATAACTGGGTAAAGATAATTGTTACTGGGCTGGAGTGGATAGGATGTTTTGCCTTGCACACAGTTGACCCGGGTTCAATTCCCAGCATCTCATATGGTCCCCTGAGCACTGCCCAAGTAATTCTTGAGTGTAGATCCAGGAGTAATCCTGGAGCATCACAGGGTGTGACCCAAAAGGAAAAAAAAATAATAATTGTTACTGTTGAGTTTTGAATTTAGCTATGTATTCTGACATCTTACAACACAAAAGAAAAGTTACATAGTTCTCATTATTATTTTGGTCTGGAGAAAAAGACCTTGACTCTGAATTTAAGATGTCTTTAAATAAACTTGGTTGTATAAAAGGCCCTGTTGAAGAGCACTGGAAAAGACACAACTTTTTAGTTAGCTTTTCCTATGTTTACTGAAAAAAAACTGGCAGAAGTTTCATTCTTTTTTAATTTATTATAGTTTACATAATATGGTTGCAACAGTGTTGAAATTTATAGTATTAATATACAAAGTTACTGTATCCCACCACCTCCACCATGCCCTTGACCCTTTCCCACTGTCCATTGCAATGTGGGTGGAACTGGAGGGTATCATATGAAGAGGTGACATAGGGACATTAAGGTAAAAGTTGTAGAGATTTTGTGTATCACAGTTCCTAATTAAAACATGCATGTAGCATCTCTATATATAGTTTTGTTTCACTAATGAAAACATGTTAGGATTCTTCTTTTTTTCTTTTTTTTTTTTTTTTGGCCCAGCACTTAGTCTTGGTTCTGCACTCAGGGCTTACTCCTGGCAGTGGTGTGGGAACTGTATGTGATGACCAGGATTAAGCCTGGGTCAACTGGTTACCTGCAGGATAATTTTGTTTTATTGGTGTTTATTTGTTTGAGGGAATGGTTTTGGCTATACCCTGTGGTGTTCAGAGTCTATTTCTGGCACAGTGTGAAGAAGCTACTCCAGGCCTTGTGTGCAGAGTGCCATATGTGTTGCTGGGGATTGAATGTGAGTCAGCCTCATGCAAAACAAGCACTTTAGTTCCTATGCTCTCTCTTTAGCCCTTACATCTATATTTTGAGAGAGAGCATATTGTTTTAGTTATTCTCCCATCTTCTATCCCCTTCTTGCCCAAATTAGAGATATAACTTTAAATATCTTTAATATTAGTGTGAAATTTTAAAGATTTTTGTAGAATATTAACTTTGATTTTTATTAAATAGAAATCTTCCGTTATTTGAAACTTTTTATTCCATAAATCTCTTTTCTTGTATTTGATCCATAGCAAGAAGTATAACTGGCAGGGGTGGGCTTGGGAGGGGAGATTAGGTACCTTGACAGGGGTTGCTTCCAGAAGTGTTCATAAGACAATGTACTGCCACGGAACAAACTTGCGCCTTCTATAAAGCAGAACATGTGCTTAGCCCATTGAGTTATTTCTCCAGGCTTCTGCTCTTGTAAAAACAGTGATTAAAAAAAATTAGTGAAACAAAAAATGTCTCGGCCATCACTATTGATTCTTCCGCTTTAAAACTCATACTGGAGCGATAGCACAGCTTAGGGCATTTGCTTCCACGCGACGGGCACAACCGAGCCGGGTTTGATTTCTCCACCGCTCTCTGAGAGCGTGCCAAGCTACCGAGAGTATTTTGCCTGCATGGCAAAGCCTGGCAAGCTACCCATGACGTATTCTATATGCCAAACACAGTAACAACAAGTCTCACAATGGAGATGTTCCTGGGCTCGCTCGAGCAAATCAATGAGCAACGGGAGAACAGAGACAGTGACTGCATGAGTAACTGGTATCAGGACGTCTTAAATTAAGGAATACTGATGAGTAAGATAGACATGATTCTTGCTCTGTGCAGTGTCCATTCTAGAAATGCATTGATAAGAAACTGCTACTGATACAATGTATTTTAAAATCCAAAAGGTAAGCCATAAATTTTTCTCTTATTTCAGAAAGGATATTTGCTTTAGCACACTTAATCATTTTAGTTGGCAATAAAATTATTAACTGATGCTAGAGAACTGTTTTTGTCTTATTAACAGTAGTATTTTCTTTAAAAGTGTTTAATTTAGGGCTAGAGAAATAGTCCAACAGGCTGAGCACATGCTTTCCAAACAGAATGGCCACCATCAATCCCCAAAACTATGTGGTTCCCTGAGCAATAAGCCTGAAGTACTACTGCACTGCCAGGTGTGACCCAAAAACAAAAAGTCATATAAAATAGTTAATTTTAAAAATGAGTGGATAGAGCGATAGCACAGCGAGTAGGGCGTTTGCCTTGCATGCAGCCAACCCAGGTTCGATTCCCAGCATCCCATATAGTTCCCTGAGCACCGCCAGGGTAGTTACTGAGTGCAGAGCCAGGACTGGCCCCTGTGCATCATCAGGTGTGACCAAAAAAAAAAAAGAGTTATTAACATTGTTCATGTTTTTTTTTTAACTTTGTGAAACCGTGTGTGTGTGTGTGTGTGTGTGTGTGTGTGTGTGTGTATGTATGTGTGTGTGCATGAGAAAAAAAACTGAGCTTTGTGTCTGTGTGTTTCCCAGTAGTTCTGAAATAGGAGGAAACATTGGTTATCATATAGTTTATCATTTCTTGAAATTGGAATGTGTTTTCTTTGTTCAAACCAAAAATGTCAGTGATACCTCTAAGTGTGGTCAGGTGGCCCTGAAACACTAAACCATCAGTACAGCACTATATATCACTGGGGGTGATGCGAAACCCCCCAAGCACCACTGGGGATGGCCTCTATTAACAGAAATTTTTTTATTAAGCTACTGGAATTTAGAAAGGAAAGGATGTGGGGATGTGGTCATTGGTAGAGCATGTCTAAGGCTCTGCACTACCCCCCCAAAAAACATGTCCATTAAGTATGGAAAAAAAAACCCTTAATTTTATACTTAATATTAGTCTAGAACTTCAGTCCTTTGCTTTGTCTGAACTCTAGTCTTAAATGTCATTTTATCTCATTCTTATAATAACACATTAGGAAAATAATGATTTTTAACAGTTTAATATAATTATTCATTGAGAAAATGCTCCTTGGGTATAAATTTGATAGTTTGTTATTGTTAAGGCGATTTTGTTGTTGTTTGGAATTAACTCGGTGGTGCTCAGGGGACCATATGGGGATGTTGATGATAGAATTTGAGTTGGACACATACAAGGCAAACACGCAACCCCCGTACTATTATTCCAGCTCATAAAGCCATTTTTTTTATTTCTTTAAATTTTTATTAGTGAAACACCATGTGGTACAGTTGCAGACTTACAAATTTTTGTTCTTGGGTTTCAGTTACACAGTGATCAATTACCTATCCCTCCACCAGTGCCCATTCTCCACTACCACTGATCCCAGTATCCCCCTCCCTCCCTCCATTCCCCCCTCCCCCATCCCATCCTGCCTCTGTGGCAGGGCATTCCGTTTTGTTCTCTCTCCTTTTGGGTGCTGTGGTTTGCAGAAGAGGCATTGAGTGGCAATCATGTTCGGTCTATAGTCTACTTTCAGCATGCATCTCCCAGCCTGGGAGGATCCTTCCAATACCCTTTATTTGGTGCTCCCTTCTCTGTCTTAGCTGCCTTTTCCCCTAGTCTGTGCAGCTGGCCTCTTAGCCATGGAGTGAACCTCCTGGTACTTATCTAGGCTATTCTTGAGTGTTAGTCTCCTGTTTTGATACTTTATGTTCCCTAGATGAATGCAATCTTTCTTTGTCTGTCTCTCTCTTTCTGACTTATTTCGCTTAGCATGATAACTTTCCATGTAGTACCACTTGTATGTAAATTTCATGACTTCATCCTTTCTAACAGCTACGTAGAACTCCATTGTATAGATGTACCAAAGTTTCTTTAACCAGTCATCTGTTCTCCGGCACTCAGGTTTTTTCCAGACTCTAGCTCTCAGTTCTTCCCCATTGAGGATGATCCTTGCTGTAGGCTTATGGTAGATGACTTTAACTATATTGAGGAAAGTCCCCTGTATACCCATTTTGGTGAGGGTTTTCATCATAAACGGGTGCTGGAGCTTGTCAAATGCTTTCTCTACATCTATTGATATGATCAGATGGCTTTTATCTTTTCTTTTGTTGATATGATGGATTATGTTGATTGATTTCTGAATGTTAAACCATCCTTGCATCCCCGGGATGAATCCCACTTGGTCATGGTGTATGATCTTTTTGATAGGTTGTTGAATTCTGTTTGTTAGTATTTTATTTATTTATTGATAATCTTCGCATCTGTGTTCATTAGGGATATTGGCCTGTAGTTTTCTTTTCTTGTGGTGTCTTTGTTTCCTGTTGGTATTAGAGAGATATGGGTTTCATAGAAACTGTTTGGGAGAGTTTCTGTTTCTTCAATTTCCCTGAAAATCTTGAGAAGAATTGGCAACAGGTCCTCTTTAAATGTTTGGAAGAATTCCCTAGTGAATCCATCTGAACCTGGGCTTTTGTTTTTGGGAAGACTTTTGATTACAGTTTCAATTTCCTTGATGTTAATATTCTATTCAGGTACTCTAGACCTTCTTGAAGTAGTCTCTGATGATCTTTTGAATTTCTTTGGTTTCTGTTGTGATATCCCCCTTCTCATTTCTAGTTCGGTTTATTAGGGTTCTCTCTCTCTCTCTCTCTCTCTCTCTCTCTCTCTCTCTCTCTCTCTCTCTCTCTTTGTTGCTAGTGGTTTATCTATCTTATTTTCTCGAAAAACTAGTTCTTGGTTTCATTGATCTTTCAGAATTTTTTTTTTTTTTGGTCTCCATGTCGTCGATTTCTGCTCTAAGTTTTATGATCTCTTTCCTTCTTCCTGATTTGGGCTCCTTTTGTTGATCCTTTTCTAAGATCTTGAGCTGTGAAGTCAAGTTGTTTATGTGGACCCTTTCTTCCTTCCTGAGAAATGCTTGCAGAGGTATAAATTTTCCCCCTTGACACGGCTTTAGTTGCAACCATAGGTTCTGGTAGCTCGTATCTTCATTCTCATTTGCTTCCAGGTATCTTTTGATTTCTTCCTTGACTTCCTTCCTGACCCACTCGTTGTTCAACATTGAGTTGTTTAATTTCCAGGTTATTTGATTTGGTTCTTTGTCTGTGTGTGATTCACTTCTATTCTCGGTGCATCATGGTCTGAAAAGATTGTTGATACTATTTCTATCTTCCTGATTCTCTTGAGGTATGTTTTGTGGCCTAGCACATGGTCTGTTTTGGAAAATATTTCGTGTGCACTGGAGAAGAATGTGTATTCTTTCTTTTGGGGGTGTAAACCCTGTATAGGTCTGTAAGCCCTTTCTGTTCTATTTCTTCTTTCAAAGCCAATGTTTCCTTGCTGAGTTTTGTTCTTGTTCATCTATCCAGAGGTGATAAGGCGATGTTGAAGTCTCCAGCTACTATTGTGTTGGTAGCAGTGTCCTCCTTAAAATCTGTTAGCAATTGTTTTAAATATTTAGCTGTTCCCTCATTAGGTGCATATACATTTAAGAGTGTGATTTCTTCCTGTTGTACGTATCCCTTGATGAATAGAAAATAGCCTTCGCTGTCCCTTCTAATCTTTTTCAACCTGAAATTGATGTTGTTGGATACTAGTATGGCCACCCCAGCTTTTTTGAGGGAGCTGTTTGCTTGCAGGATTGTTTTCCATCCTTTCACTTTGAGTCTGTGTTTGCTCTGACTGTTGAGATGAGTTTCTTGTAGGCAGCAGAATGTTGGGTTCTGTCTCTAAATTCATTTTGCCACTCTGTGTCTCTTATTTGGTGAATTTAGACCATTGATGTCGAGAGAGATTATTGTCATGGGGTTTTGTGCCATCTTTCTGTAAAGGTTTGTTGTGCTTATGGATGTTTTCTTTCTTGAATTACAGGGCCCTTTTAGTCCTTCTTTTAGGTTTGGTTTTGAGTCTATACTGAACTATCGTATATCTATAAAATTGTGTATCATTCCATCGAGATTGAATGAGAGTTTTGCTGGATAAAGTATTCTTGCTGATGCTTTCATTTCATTGAATTTTTTTTCACTTTATCCCACCATTGTCTTGGGGCTTGGAGGGTTTCCTCTGATAGGTCTGCTGTAAATCTAAGGGGTGCTCCTTTGTATGTGATTTCCTTCTTTGACCTTGCTGCTTGCAGTATTGTGTCTCTATCTGCGGCATCAATCATTCTAACTATGATGTGTCTTGTAGTGTTTTTGTTAGGGTCTTTTTTAGCTGGCACCCTTCGGGCTCCTTGAATCTGAATGACTGCATTGTCCAGCTCTGGGACTTTTTCAGCAATTATTTGTTTAACCAGGACTTTTTCATTGGGATTGTTTCCTGTAGCTTCTGTTACTCCAATGATTTTAATGTTCCTCTTGGAATAATCTCCTAGGACTCTGATTCACTCTAGAGGTATTTAGAGATCTCTTGGCATTGTTGTTACTTGTTGGTTTGGTGCAGCAGATCTTCCAGCTCACTGATTCTGTCTTCAGCTGTAGTCATTCTACCGTTGTGGGCACAGACTGAGTTTTTTTATTTCATCTATGGAATCTTTAATTTGCAACATTTCTGTGCGTAGCTTTCCAATTTCTGCTCTCATTTCTTCCCGTAGTTTCTCGATTGTTTCTTTCATGTCCTCCTTTAATTTACTGGATATCTCTCTCACTGTTTCATTGAACATCTTCATGACTTCATATCTGAATTCTTTCTCAGAGAGATCCCTTAGGTGAGGAGCACCTACTGAGGCTTCTGAACTCTTTTCATCTTCGTACCCATGTGGTGGGGATTTGTGTTGTTTTTTCATGTTGGTGTGTAGGTATGGGAACTAAGATGTTACACTAGATTTCTTGGTATGCGTAAACTACCTGCAGCCTGGAATTAGGCCACACGGACTTCTGAAGAGGCCATGCCCCCCACGGGAACCTGGTGTGGTTCTGAGAGGAGAAGAATGCTGGTACAGCACTGGGGACGAGGAGAAAGAGGCTCAGGGCTGCTTTTGTCCCAGGGTCCTAGAGGACGCCTGGGGCGCTTACACGGAGAAAGCCAAGTTGTGGGTTCAAATACTGGCGGGTTAACTGACCTGGGAAGGGAAGAAGACCAGCACAGCATTGGGGACAAGGAGTAAGAGAGCCATTTTTAAAATTGGCACAAACATTTCCTAAAATTTGCTTATTCAATATTTAATTACCTATGAAATATTTTGTATATTTGGGTCAAATTAGCTATCATCCAAATCAAGTTTCAGATTGTTAGGATAAGAAGGTGTTTTTTCTTTCAGGAAATTGGCAAGTTGCTTTCTAAAAACCTTTAAATGAATGTAAAAATATTTAGCCTAGTACTTGTGTTAACTTTCTTCTCTCTTACAGAATCCACTCCAAATCATCCATCACAAACATCAGCCCAAAAGAAAACTCCTACTTCTTCATCTCGGCAAAAAGATAAAGTTAATAAACGAAATGAACGTGGTGAAACTCCTTTACACATGGCAGCTATTCGTGGAGATGTGAAACAAGTCAAAGAATTAATAAGTTTAGGGGCAAATGTGAATGTTAAAGATTTTGCAGGTAGGTTAATTATTGAGAACTAAAATTTGTAATTTCCTCTAAGCAAATTTTAATTATATTTTAAAGTGCATTTTGTATTATTTGGAGGCCAGGGGCGGGTGGGGGCGTGGCCACACCTGCTTTACTCAGACTTACTCACTGGCTCTGTGGTCAGGGATCACTCTTAACTGTATTTGGGTCACTCTATGAGGCTCCAGGAATCCAACCAAAGTCTGCTGCATATAAGGCAGTAGCCTGACCTTCATCTTCTCGCTGTTGTCTCTCCCACACATTTCTCTATTCTGAATGAAAGAGTCCTAAAAATACTATACTATATTACAAAACTTTTGAAGTATATACATAAAAACTCTGATCTCTGAATTCCCTGTCAGTGGGTAGTATTTAAAAATATTAAAATCGTATTTTAGTTGATATATTACTTTATATCAATTGGGCTGGAGTGATAGCACAGCAGGTAGGGCGTTTGCCTTACAAGCGGCCAACATGGCCGACCCGAGTTCGATTCCTCCGCCCCTCTCGGAGAGCCCGGCAAGCTACCAAGAGTATCTTGCCCGCATGGCAGAGCCTGGCAAGCTACCCGTGACGTATTCGATATGCCAAACACAGTAACAACAAGTCTCATGATGGAGACGTTACCGGGCCCGCTCCAGCAAATCGATGAACAACGGGAGGACCGTGACTGTGACCGTGATATTACTTTATCGTTCTTGATTCTATTGTAGGTGAAATTGAATTATATAACATTCTCAGGGTAGTTTATTCACAAGTTTTTTAGGAAGAGGAAAATTTATTAACTTGAATATGACATCAATGGAAACATGGTGATAGTATTTCATTTTACTTACTCAAAATTACAAGTACTTTTTTAAAAAAATTTTTTTATAAGTACATTCTCTTTTTTTTTTTTTTTTTTTTTTTTGGCTTTTTGTGTCACACCTGGCAATGCACAGGGGTTACTCCTGGCTCTGCACTCAGGAATTACTCCTGGCGGCGCTCAGGGAACCATATCAGATGCTGGGGATCAAACCCGGGTCAGCTGCGTGAAAGGCAAATGCCCTACCCTCTATGCTATTGCTCCTTATATGTGACTTTAAAACTGTCAAAAGATAAATTTGTTGCAGTTAAAATTAAGTGTTAAGACTGAAAAAAAATGAACAGAAATAACCTGTAAACTACAAGGGGTTTTGTTTACTGAAAGATCTGAACAAGCTAATTAACATTTTGCCTTTGTAAAATTCTTTTCTGCTGGAGTGATAGTACAGCGCATAGCTTTCTTTGCTGGCAGCCAAGCCATGTTTGATCCCTGTTGCTCCATATGGCCCCACCAGTAGTGATCCCTGATCTTGAGCCTAGAGCCAGGAGTAAACCAGGAGCATCACCAGCTATGTCCCTCTCCAACCGTTCCCCTGTCCCCCGCAAAAAAAAACCCCAAACACAATATTTTTCCATAGTTAGAATGACTATCCTAAAGTATAATGAGGTCATAAAATTTTTTGGGTAAACTTAAATATTTTGTGTTTTGGGACCATACCTGCCTATTTTCTGGCTTAGAGACCACTCCTGTTAGTGCTCAGCAGATCCCTTTGGGATGCTAGGGATAAAACCAAGTTGGCCATGCACAAGTCAATCGTCCTAACCACTGTACTATTTCTCTGGCCCCATTAAATGTTTAATATTTTAGTCAAGTATTTTCCATTAGAAATAATACCATGATCCTTCTATAAAATTGATGGTGCTATCAGCTATCTTCTTTGTAACTGTACCTTTGTTCTGTACAATAGACATTCAGAGTTGATACATAAGTATCATTGTCACTGTCCTCCTTTTGTTCATCGATTTTCTAGAGAGGGCCCAGTAACGTCTCCATTGTGAGACTTTGTTGTTACTGTGTTTGGCATATCGAATACGTCACGGGTAGCTTGCCAGGCTTTGTCGTGCAGGCGAGATACTCTCGGTTGCTTGCCGGGCTCTCCAACAGGGGTGGAGGAAACGAACTCGGGTCGGCCATGTTGGCTGCGTGCAAGGCAAACGCCCTACCTGCTGTGCTATTGCTCCAGCCCATGCATAAGTATGTTTCTGAAAAATATATAAATGAAACCCTATGTTAATATTCTCACATTAGGTTGGACACCACTGCATGAAGCTTGCAACGTTGGGTATTACGATGTTGCTAAGATACTTATAGCAGCTGGAGCAGATGTTAACACACAAGGATTAGATGATGACACTCCACTTCATGATTCTGCAAGTAGTGGACACAGAGATGTAAGTATATAGAAAAACCAAAATAAGCACTATCAAAATATAAAGTCACGCCAGTATTTATTTCTTAGTCCATATGACTTGTGTTTCATTTATTGCTGGATCATCTGTCAATATTTTATTTTCTTTTTTCTACTTTCAAATTGCTGATTCCTGTCAAAATTATAGTAAGCATTATCTGTTTCCTATTTGAGTATACAGGTTAATGAGATAGAAATTTTGTTTTTATAGTTTAGGTAGCATGGTTAGAGTTAATGTCTATAATAGAATGTACAGGTTCTGCAGCCCACCACTAGCAAAATGCCCAATACCCTCCACCAGTATCCTTATGTCACTTCTAGCCCACCTCTTCTACCTTTCCCCCGGTTTAGAACTCTAAGAGTTTTATAATCCAAACCTAAGTATCTGTCATTGTTTGATACTATTTCCAGTAGGGTTTTTAATATCACTGGGTAATCAGATACCTAGATAGGATATTTGAAGCATATTTTTCTGACAAAAATTTTCAAGTGTTATACTCCCTAATACGGGGATGGAGGGGCACAGCATTACACCCATCTGTGCTCCTCCTTACTCCTGGTGCTCTTCGACCATACATGGTGCTGGAAGTCAGACATGGATCAGCCTCTTGCAAGGCAGATGCCTTACTTATCCATTGTGCTCTCTTTCCAGCCCACTTTTAACTTTTAAGAGGCATTTTATTTTAGTTAGGGAAAATGGTATTTAGTATAAAGAGATCGGATTAAACTCTGGCCTGGTCTGTTTGACACACTGTTAAGTTACAGTGTGTAAGTTACTTCTCTTCTTGAACCTCCATTTCCTTATCTTTAATAAATAATTATCTTAGGTAGATAATGGCTATTTTCAGGCTTTTCTTCAGGAAAGACCTACATATAAACACTCCTTTAGTTCTTATTGTTTTGCGGGGGAGGGGAGTGCTTTGGGGCAGAGGGGCCACACCTGGCTATGCTTAGGGATTACTCCTGGCAGTACTCAGGACCATATGGAGTGCCAGGGATCAAGGCAAAGGCCCTACCTGCTTTACTATCTTTCCAGCTCCTTGCACCTTTAATTCTAAAATGCCAGGGATGAGAGAATAATAGAGCGGGGCGAGGTAGCTCCATGTGTGCTGAGCATATGCCATTCATGCCAAATTTAATCTGTGGCACAATATGAACACTTATACACTACCAGGTATGGCCTCTTCAATGAAATAAAAAAAATTGTCCTCTTGGTACTATTACTCTCTCTGTGTGTGTGTGTGTGTGTGTGTGTGTGTGTGTGTGTACACAAAGTTGTGTATATCCAGCACAAAAGTGAGGGAAAGGTATTTTGGGATAATTGGATAAAGGTAGATGACAAAGGCAAAATTTAGGGGAAGGAAAATTTAAAGGAAGCAAAATTTAGGTAGCAACCAGTCAGAGAAAGAGGTCTTGGAATGCCGTTGGAAGTGACCTCTAAGCACGGAGTGAGTTACGGAAGGAAAATTTAAAGGAAGCAAACTTTAGACAGCAACCAGTCTATTTTAGAGAGAGAGGTCTTGGGGTGCCATTGGGAGTGATCTCTAAGCACGGAGTGAGTTCTGGAAGCACCATCAGGTAGTACCCTATTCTCTGCATCTTCAACACCCCCTACCGCCCCCCAAAAAAGTTGGCTTGAAAAATACAGTAGTATATTAAAAAGGTCCCTGTGTGCTTTCTTGCTTTTGGGCCACACCTGGCTTAGCTCAGGGCTTCCTCCTTAGCTCAGTGCTCTGTAGTCCTGGGTCACTCCGGGCATGTGTCAAGGGAATATGTGGAGTGATAGAAATCAAACCTGAGTCTGCTGTGTGCAAGACAAGTACCCCTACCTTCAGTATTATGCTATGTACTCTAAAGTACACTAGTACTTCTTTGATAATGAGGTCTATATTTATAACAGAATGAATTAAGAGTGAGTATGTTGAAAATTGTACTAATGAAAACTCAGGATCATTGACTCCAGGGAAAATGAAGTTATGCACAGAAATTCACTTTGTAAAGTTGGCTTGATGTTTTCTTTAATCATAGTAATATACAGAGATTCTGTCATTATGTTGGAAAGTTAAGGAGAAAGGAATTTTATGTATTGGGGAAGAATAGGGGAAAGAGTCAAATCTATTTTTTTCCCTGCTAGACAATAGACAATGCTTAAAATTGAGAAAGATGTAAGCAGCAAACTTAGGTGTGTCATTTACGTGTATGGAGATAGGTTTTGGGACTTAGTGACGCTATGTTCTTCATTAGCAGCCTTGCAGAGTTACCTTTTAAAATCATAAGCATATGATTAATAACTTGTTTCTTTGATGCAGTCTTATATTTCTGTCAGTATTAACAGTTTATCCTTTCATAGTATGGAAATACTTTCATTATTATGCATCTTCTTAAGTACTTTCATTTGAAGCTTTAATTTACAACATTAATAATGATTTTTTTTAAAGGATGTGGGGTTTTTTGGGTGATTTTTTTCCTGAAGTATAACACGTTTATTGGGAAATAAAGGGCCGTAAGGAGAGAGGGAAGGTAAGATACATGCTCAGTGGAGAACATGGGCTTTTCCAGAGTGGAGAGAACCCAAAAGTACACATCTCAGCATTAAAGTAGGAGAGTATGAAAGTACACATCTCAGAAGGAGAAATGTGGGGTGGCACATGCACAGCTTGACTTACTTTTCTAAGTACCAGAAAATACCATTATATAATTGGAACTGAAAGACTTGATTTAGAACAAGGGGAGAAATGTGTGCTATACTAATGTCAATTTGCATATGATAAAACACAGTAATATCAACAAAAATAGAACATAAAGTTGGGAGAAGTGGGATAAAAACAGAATTAGTAGTAGTAGTCTACTTATTCATTATAACATATTCATTGTAGACAGTGATGACTCTGATTTCTGGTTTTAGAGACTGGATTTTAGCAGTTACTCTAAAAATGAAAGTAGATGGGAGCTGGAGAGATAATTCATAAGGTAGAGAGAACACTTAGATTGTGTATGTCCTACCCAGGTTCAGTCATTTGCACCACATTTGATCCTCCGAGCTCCATCCACCAAAAGACAGATCCAGGAGTAATAAGCCTGAGCACTGCCAGGTACAACCCAAAACGAAGGTAGATAAAAGATAAGGTGCTTTGAGTGAGGAGATAGTATTGTGATTAGTGCACATGTTTATCATGAGCTCAACCCAATTTCGCAGCTGCCAAATGGTTCCCAAGCATTGCCAAGTGTGGCTCTAGGAACCTCTGAGCACTTCTAAATATGGTCCTGGAGACCCCCGGCACTGCCAGGTAAACTCCAGTACATGGGGTCCAAGCAGCATCACATCTTCAGACCCTTGTATTGAACCAGCAGCCTGCTTGGTCAAAAATGACTGGTGGGGTGCTGGACCTTTTTGCCACCACTTGAAGGGCCAAAACAAAACCCTTTATAGCCATCTTAACAAACCATTTGTGACCTCTTGGTTTGAGCTACCTCAGACCTATTGGTTTGAGATACACATATATCCAGCTGAATATATCCAGTGAATGATTGGATACTTATGTTTGAAGTTCAAGAAAGTGGGCTGAGAAAGAATAAAGAATAAAATGAATGGGTTATATAATTACCGTATTCAGTCAGAGTAGATGATGTTTTCAATTCAAACGTGAAACATTGGATCTAGGACAGAATTCTACAGAAATAGTAATGAACTTAGATCATTAAAGACCTATTTTATATAACTGATGTTAGCATAATTTTAGATACAAGAATGAAGAATTAATTAAAAAAACATGGTGCAGGGGTGCAAATCTCTACAGAAGCTTGTATAAGTTGAGAGATTTAGCTAGAGCATAGGAATTTAAACTTTTAACAGTGACTTACTTTATCTTTAATCTATTGATATTTTAAAGAGATGAACTAGCAAGAAAGGGTTTTGGAGATTAACCCTTTGAAAAGATGTTGAAAGGAAGAATCTTATCCTCCTCCATAATAGTATATAGATGCAAAATAAAAAAGACATACAGTTATGGCTAACCTTACAGATCCTTGTTTCATGACGCACCAGCTTACATAATAATTTCAGGGGTGAGGGAGGAGAGGGCTCTTTAAGAAACATCTCAGTGAGGGCTGGAGCGATAGCACAGTGGGTAGGGCATTTTCCTTGCACACGGCCACCCCTGTTTCGATTACCAGCATCCCATATGGTCCCCCGAGCACCGCCAGGAGTAATTCCTGAATGCAGAGCCAGGAGTAACCCCTGTGCATTGCCAGGTGTGACAGAGAGAGAGAGAGAGAGAGAGAGAGAGAGAGAGAGAGAGAGAGAGAGAGAGAGAGATCTCAGTGATCAATACAAAATTAAAGGTTTTTGTAAGGGGCCTGGTGAAATTGCAAAGCCTTGATGTTGAAGTTCCAGAGTTCATTAACAGCAGTTTTAAATGTTTGGGAGATGGGGGAAAGAGAATTAGTGAAAGGGGGTTATAAAGCAGGGGACTTAGACCTCAAGTTTGATACCCCCCCTTTCCTACATGCATGTACTTTTTCTACAGCCTGCAGGTGTGACTATAGGTAGCCCCCAGCTCAGCTGGCCTAAGTATCCCCACCTCACCATGTTGAGCACCTGTCGGGCCCTGCATCGTAAGCCTAGTAATGCTGACTGTGACCATGTACTTCCAAGTACATCTGGGAAGAGCCCCCAAGTCCCCAAAACTAAGATCAAAAGCATTGATAGTGACTAACCTTAAACAGAAATAACATCGTGAGATTCCATCTAAACTACACATTTCAGGAGGTTAGACAATTTTATTGTTAATTTACCTGCAGAACATGAAGTACTTGATAATTACATTTGATGAAACATTGGAATGGGAATTATTGCAAGTAAAGAGATTTACTGTGAAAATAGCCCAGCTTAAATTTTGGCCTAGACGGAGATTGATACCTTGTGGTGTTCAGGGTCTCCTTTCTGGCTCTTTGCTTAGGGGTTGCTTCTGGCAGTGCTTGGGGGATGACTGCAGTGTCAGGGAGTGAACCTGGACCTCCTGTGTGCAAAACATGTTCAGTTCATTGAGCTATACCTCTGGCTCCAAGCCCACCCCTAGACCCGTCCCAGACACGCACAAATTTAAGTGAAGTAAAATACTTTTATTTAAAGAAATTCACTTACAGGAATATGAGAAGAGATGAGAGATAACGTATTCAGGAGAGACACAGGCTTCTCCAGCCTGCCAAAAGATCCCCCCACCCCCACACTCAAATGCATAATTTTCAAGTAGAGCATTTCTTTTTTAGGGTCATCAGGTGGAAGAGCATGGCAATGAAACTTGAAGATAGTAGTGATTTCAAATAGAAACAAGGGATGGAAACAGTACATGAAGCTTACTGTGTATTTTCATTAGAATGACTGAAATGATGTAATTTATGAATCTTCCTACTGTCTAATGTTACAGATAGTGAAACTGTTACTTCGTCATGGTGGAAATCCGTTTCAAGCTAATAAACATGGGGAGCGCCCAGTGGATGTAGCAGAAACAGAGGAGTTGGAGCTGCTGCTCAAAAGAGAGGTGCCTTTATCTGACGATGATGAAAGTTACACAGGTTTGTTTCAGATAATGGGAATTAAAGCTGACAGTTTTGTAGTACATACTATATCTACATAAACATAAACTTAGAATCATTCTACCTAGCTACTAAGACAAGTAGATTTATTAATCCTAGGTATTTACTGCATGTTCTCCAAGTGGAATTAAAATGCTGTAGTTCATTCCTGTGTTTTCCCTTTCACCTTCACAAAGTGCTGAATGTATAGTGAAGCCAATAGCAGAACCTTTCTTCATTAATAGCTACCGCAACTGCTGTACTACCTTTATTTTATTCTCTCATTAAGTACAGAGCCACTAACCAAAGTTTTTGTTCTGGAATTAATGAGTCGTCATATTTGCATTTATATTTTTGAATTTTGGTCGTTATTATGAAGCGTAGTTTTACATATGCAAAGACAGTTTTAGAAACATTTTTTTTGGGGGGGTGTCACACCCAGCAATGCACAGGAGTTACTCCTGGCTCTGCACTCTGCACTCCTGGCAGTGCTCAGGGGACAATATGGGATGCTGGGAATCGAACCTGGGTTTTCCTTGTGCAAGACAAACGCCCTACCCACTGTGCTATCGCTCCAGTATAAAAAGATATTTACAATGACTATTTAACAATACTCACTGAAAGATCTTACCAAGGAATAAAATTTGAAAGAGAGTCTAGCGTAGCACGATGCCTTGCTTCATACAGGTGTGCTTGGGATTGGAGAGCTAGTATAGTGGTAAAGGTGCATGCCTTGCATGTGACCAAGCTCAGTTTGATCCTTGGCTCCCTATGGTCGTCTGGCAGTGCCAGGTATAGTGTTGCAAGCCATCTGTTAACCTGCAGCACCGCAAGGCCTTAGTGGACCTGGCCAAGTTGGCTGAGAATCCCTGGGAAAGGCTACTGGGCATCCTGGTCACTTTTTTGGAGATCTCAAAAAACAAGTCCTTCTATAAAATGGGTAAAATTTGTTTAATAATAAATATTGTACCAGAATAGTACAATATTTATTTAATAATAAATATTGTACCAAAATAGTACAATAAATATTGTACTATTGGGCTACCAGAGAGGTAGCCCAATAGACTGAGTATATGATACGCATTTGAGATAACCTGTGTCCAATCCCTAGTACTGCATAGTCCATCTCCCAGAGTACTGTGAGGTGTGTGTCCCCCCAGAAAACAAAAAATAATCAAATTCTGATGAGCTTTGCAATTAAGCTGGCATGATACATTGTTGAGAGTGCTGGGGGGAGGAGGGAGGAAATTGTTAGGACATGTTAAGCTCCTAAGACTAACCAGAAATGCTGATATATTTATAAGCAAGTGTTATATATCTTGTGCAGCCATTAAAATGGTGTTTTCCATATACTGTATATGTCTTAGTATAAGGTGAACTACATTTCCCTCGAGTTTTTTGTTTTTTTTTTGTTTTTTTTTTCTTTTTGGGTCACACCCAGCGATGCTCAGGGGTTACTCCTGGCTCGTGCACCCAGGAATTACTCCTAGCGGTGCTCGGGGGACCATATGGGATGCTGGGAATCGAACCCGGGTCGGCCATGTTGGCTGCATGTAAGGCAAACGCCCTACCCGCTGTACTATCATTCCAACCCCCTTGAGTATTTTTTTTAAATGAATTTTGTAGTCTAAGTTAGACACAATGTGCATTATTTAAAGATATGTACTTTGGTATACACAGTGAAAATATGTATCAATTTAGAAATGCTATTTTTACAGTATTTTTAGGCAACATAATTACAATAATATTAACATTTATGGTCTAGATATACAAATTTACTGCATATACTCCCTCCATCCAAAGTACCCAAGACCCTTCAGCACTGTTCTTAGGTCACTTCCACTCTGCTAGAAATATCTGTCTGCTAGATGTATTCTCCTCTCACTAGAAATTTTTTTTTAATTTATTTATTTATTGAATCACTGTGGGAAAGGTTACAAAGCGTTCAGGTTTAGGTCTCAGTCATGCAAATATCAAACACATTTCCCTTTACCAATACTTATTTTTTCCCATGAAGAACCCCAGTAAGACCCCACCCCCCACCCCTCCCAGTCCCTGTGAGGCAGATGAATTCTAGTTAACACTCTATCTGCTTTGATTAGATTCATTGTTTCATTAAAAGATTCACCACTATGATTTAGAGTTTACCCCCCCCCCCCAATCAGACATGCTGAAAAAGCATTGTGAAATGATTTGCTTTCTACAGCTGGGTTCAAGAATTAAATGTTGGTTTTGGATTTCTGCTATTTTACTTATTGACCGTGGAAGTATTTCTACTGAAAGTCAGATAGTTCAGAAATTGGTTTCTGTGCTCTGGAGTCATGGCCGTGCTGGAGAGTCCCTCGTGGGGGGCAACTGGTGGCCTCGGTAGGGCATGAAGTGCGGACCGAAACGCCCCCCTTCCCATGAGGTTTTAGTCGCCCCCACACCCCCGGCTCATACCTGCTGTCCACAAGGCTCCCATGCGGCCACCATCTTTCTTTCCAGGGAGGAAAGGGCGAATGGGGCAACACTCTTTCCCCTCCAGACAGACATGATGGCCTGGATTAACGCATAGTCCGTTCACTTTTCTGCTCCAAGCTGCCGGGTTCTGCATTAAGTCCTTGTGCTTCTGGGGCCGTGGCTGTGCTGGAGAGCTGCTCACAGGGGGCAAATGGTGACCTCAGTAGGGCGTGAAGGATGGACCGGAACACCCCCTTTCCCATGAGGTTTTAGTCTCCCCCACACCCCCGGCTCATACCTGCTGTCCACAAGGCTCCCATGTGGCCGCCATCTTTCTTTCCAGAGGGAGGAGGGCGGAAGGGAGCAACACCTTTTCCCCTCGGGACAGACATGATGGCCTGGATTAACACATAGTCCGTTCACTTTTCTGCTCCAAGCTGCTGGGTTCTGCATTAAGTCCTTGTGCTTCTGGGGCTGTGGCCGTGCTAGAGAGCCACTCGTGGGGGGTACCAGGTAACCTCGGTAGGGCGTGAAGGACGGACCAGAACGCCCCCCTTCCCATGAGGTTTTAGTCGCCCCCACACCCCCGGCTCATACTTGCTGTCCACAAGGCTCCCATGCGGCCGCCATCTTTCTTTCCAGAGAGGAGAGGGCGAATGGGGCAACACCCTTTCCCCTCCGGACAGACATGATGGCCTGGATTAACGCATAGTCCTTTCACTTTTCTGCTCCAAGCTGCCGGGTTCTGCATTAAGTCCTTGTGCTTCTGGGGCCGTGGCTGTGCTGGAGAGCCGCTCGCGGGGGGCAACTGGTGACCTCGGTAGGGCATGAAGGACGGACCGGAACGCCCCCCTTCCCATGAGGTTTTAGTCGTTCCCACACCCCCGGCTCATACCTGCTGTCCACAAGGCTCCCATGCGGCCGCCATCCTTCTTTCCAGAGAAGAGAGGGCAAATGGGGCAACACCCTTTCCCCTCCGGGCAGACATGATGGCCTGGATTAACGCATAGTCCGTTCACTTTTCTGCTCCAAGCTGCTGGGTTCTGCATTAAGTCCTTGTGTTTCTGGGGCTGTGGCCGTGCTCCAAACTTAACTCTGATTTTCAGGGAGAAACGTTGGGTGGTTTACTTCCCATTGATCACTTTGTATATAGAGAGATGTCTGCGGCCGCGCGGTTTTGAGAAAAAGTCCTAGTTCCCGCATACTCGAGCTGTGCTTGTAGAGGCTTCTGGTCACCGGGGTTCCATCTGGGGGAGGCGGGATGCGGTACCTACCCCATCTGGGACTTCCCGATGATCTCGGCTCTTTTTGGAACCTGTTTTTTTCTTTTTCTCCGGGAGCTGTGGGTCCCGTCCTCCATGTGGCCCTTCCCTTTCAGAAATATTTTTTACTGTCTTATAAAAGGTTTTTGTAAAACTGCACACATCTATTTCCGTATTTTCATTAACACCAGAATGACCTTTAGCCATCTAATAATTTTTCATGTTCAGTTCCACCCATAATCCTTGATGCAGCACTTTAGAGATCTCAGTATATGCTAGCATAAGAAAAAACTGTCTCAAAATGAGCCATTTACTATTTGTGTTCTTTATAACATAATTATATTCCTGTTGTTATTCATGTTTATTTGGGTTTATGGGCCACATGTAGCAGTGTTCAGAACTACTCCTGGCGGTGCCTAAGGCACCGTATCAGAACTGGGATCAAACTGGGCTTCTGCCTACTGCTGCATACAGTCAGCCCATTGAACGGTTCCTCTGACCCCTATGAGCTTTTAAAATATGCAGTATTTAGGGGTTGGGTTGATAGTAAAGAATAGGGCATTTGCCTTTAAAGCAGCCAACCCTTTTTTGATCCCTAGCACCACATACTGTCCACTACCCTCGCCTTGAGTACAGAGCCAGGAATAGGTACTGAGTATCACTGGGTGAGGCCAAAACATTAGCAGCAAAACCTCCCAATGTGTTATTATGAAAATAAACATACAGCAGAAGAATTTTACAGTAATACCCTATACTACCCAAAGTGATGAAAATTCCTTATATCCCTTCATAATCACTTTCTGTTCCTACCTGTATACCTCAATGTCTTAATGATTTAGTTTATGCTATTAATGGTAAAGATGATTATGCAAAAATCACTAATGACTGTTGAATCTAGGAGGAACTTTTGATGTGCAGTATATTCATGTGACCGTCTTTACAGGAGAAAGAAAAATCCCATGATACATAGCAGAGAAATTCAGCAATACCCTTGTGCTCAAAATTAACCATCAAAAGAGAGATGTCATTTAGCTCCTGATTGACCCTTTTAAAGGATATAACTTTATGGCATTCTGAGAATGTATAACCATGAAGAATGTTATACTTTAAAAAAATTGCCAACGTGCCCCCCCTAAAAAAAAAAACGGCATGAAAGGTTTTTGTTTTTTTGTGATATTTTTGGCTTTTCAGGTCACACCTGGCAGTGCTCAGGGGCTACTCCTAGTTCTGTACTCAGGAATTAACTCCTGACGTTGCTCGGGGGACCTTAGGAAATGCCAGGGATCAAACCCTGGT